GATTAATTGAAAGATTAAGAGGAGGTCTGATTAAGAGAGAACTAGGATACCGTCAATTATAGGAAACCAGAGCCCCCATAGAGTGGATCAGGGACCATAGAGTGGACCAGGGACCATAAAGTGGACCGGGGGACCATAAAGTGGACCGGGGGACCATAGAGTGGACCAGGGGACCATAGAGTGGACCAGGGACCATAGAGTGGACCAGGGGCCCATAGAGTGAACCAGGGGACCATAGAGTGGACCAGGGGGACCATAGAGTGGACCAGGAACAATAGAGTGGACCAGGGACCATAGAGTGGAGCAGGGAAACTATTGAGTTGATCAGGGGGACCCTAGAGTGAACTAGGAACCATAGAGTAGACCAGGGACTATAGAGTGGACCAGGGACCATAGAGTGGACCAGGGGTACAGAGTGAACCAGGAACAATAGAGTGGACCAGGGGGGAAATTAAGTGGACCAGAAACCATTGAAAGGACCAGGGGGACCCACGAGTGAACCACGGACCATAGAGTGGACCTGGGACCATGAGTGGACCAGAGTCTATAGAGTGGACCAGGGGGATCATAGATTGAACCAGGAGTAGCGAAGATTTGACCAGGTACCATAGAGTGGACCAGGTACAATAGAGTGGACTAGGAACAATAGAGTGGACCAGGAACCATAGAGTGGACCGGGGACCATAGGATGGTCCATGAACAATAGAGTGGACCAGGGACCATAGAATGATCTATCTATCTATCTACCTATCTATCTACAATTCTTCTAAATCTAACACTCTCAGATCCGTGAAACAAAATCTCTTTTTGCCAAATTTTCGGTTTATTTAACCATCTTCAGGGCATATTCTAGAAAACATACAAAATAAGAAACTTGAATAATAAATGTTTAAGAATTAAAATTTAACATAATTAAAAGTAACAATATAAAAACAAAAGCAAATTAACAGATTTCAAATGTGATACCTTGCTTTAACTCGACCAAAGATTAACTGAATATACATTTGGTTTCTTTGCCCTCACACCCCAAAAAAATAAACCCCCCTCTTTTTAATCTCAATATGTTTACACCCTGTTTCTTCCCCTTTTTCTTTATTAATCTGCAAGCATTCTTAAAATAAAAGCATTACAAAATTTTGCGGAATTTCTTGTTTTTATTATTTGTGAATTTTATATGGTGACATGATTGAACTCTGACCTCCCATAAACCTCGTCTTGTTAATGTGCTTTTTCATTTTTTGAAATACGAAAAAATAAAAAATTCTTATTTTTGAATTATGGGCCGGGAGCAATCCCAGTAACATTTGTACAAATAAAACTACATGGTTACTATATGCTGAGGCTGCAATTTTTCAGAAAGATATAAACACCCTCCCCTCTTCCTCTCCGCTCCTATACCCTCCCCTCCCTTTCTCAACCTTTAACCCAAGACCATCTAAATAATTTTCATGTCTATTTTATTACAACCCTAACTACTCATCCAATTTGGGGGAAATTGTGGAATTTATGAAAACAAAGACGACATTTTTAAAGATTTCGAAATGGCTTTTTAACTTCGGTAAAATATCTTTAAGGAGCTGTCTTAAAATCATACGATTTGGTTTTCTATTTTCCGGATAATATTTGCCACAAATATTTCCTATACCACAAAATCAGAAATATTGCTATACAGGTTGAGAAAATACACTATTGACTATAAATGACAATTAACTGTCCTACAGTCATAACCAGAAAACTCCAAAATAGTAAGACGACTTTATAGCAATACGTAAGTGTATTTGATGTTGTTATAGAGAAAATAATTTTACTTGACACTTATTAAATCACAAATTAAGTGAAATGGGTCTCTTTGCTCTGACTAATATATTTTTCCCGTGAAGAATTTCTGTTTCCCGTGCTTATTGGGCTATCCAAAGTCTTAATTTAAGTTTAAAAGTCATATTCCTATTTCAGAGTTTTCTGGTAACCGCGGCGTCCTCCCCGAACTCAAGAAATTCTCTGTCTGTGCTTCCAAGCTGTGCCAAATTTTCTATTGAAAAAGTGACAAAAAAATATATTTAGGCGTAAGGAAAAGAGAAGGAAGATAAATGAAAGAAATGAAAATTGATTCGAGATCATGGTATTTAACTTCTTTTCTCCATAGAACTAATGATCCAAGGATCCAGACGAATGGAGGGATGGATTTAAGATATTGATTAATGAATAAATGAAGTTAAACCTTTTTGAATTGAGTAATTCAAATAGATAAAAATACAAGAGTTTACATATAATTCTCCTTTCTCTCATTGGTTGAAAAAAAGTTCAGTTTGTATATTTTATTTTTTACAATTGAAAGTTGAAATTCCTTTATTTTCTTAGGGAAAAACAATCAAAGGACGACTCGGACGGAAACAGAGAGAATGGAAACAAAGGACGGAAGCAGAAAGAATGTAAACAAATGACGACTACTGCGGAAACACAGAGAATATAAACAAAGAACGAATAGGACGGAAGCAGAGAGAATGTAAACAAAGGACGACTAGGACGGAAGTATTATAAATGCAACCAAAGGCCGACTATAAGGTAAAAAGAACTGGTTAAAACTAGATAAACCAAAGGCGACAAGCGGGAAGTATTCTAAAAGAAACCAAAGGACGACTATGACGTAAGTTCTTAATACAACCAAAGGACGAATAAAGAAAGACGACCAGCATTGAAGTAAACTGGTTACACCCAAAGGACGCCTAGGACAGAAGTAATAAAATATATACAACCAAAGGACGACTAAGACGGAAGTTGGCTACACACAAGGACGACTAGGACGGAAAAAATAGTTACAACCAAAGTAGGACTAGGACGAAAGTAACATAGATACAACCAAAGAAGGATTAGGACGGGAGTAAAATAGATACAACCAAGGGACGAATAAGACGGAAGTTGACTACATACAAAGACGACTAGGACGGAAGTAAACTAGATACAAGTACTACAGGACGGAAGTAAAAAGATAAACCCAAATGACAACTAAGACGTAAGTTAACTTCATACAAGGACGATTAGGACGGAAATAAAATAGATACAACCAAAGTAGGACTAGGACGGAAGTAAAGCGGATAACCAAAGGACGACTAAGACGAAAGCTAACTAGATACAAGGATGGCTAGGACGGACAGTATTAAATGGCTCCAGGTGGGTGGTTTGACCTAATCCCCAGATTGTTTGTATAATCCCTAGTTAATCCCTTAACTACATGATATACATACGGATCCTTTAGATCCAATATCATAACTTAGATTCATAAACCTCACCCTTCATAATACAGAGATAATTCTTATACAGGGTGTCATTTAGAACAGTTACAGGGCCTACTTAAATAAATGGATAAAATTATCTTACAGGGTGTCATTTAGAACAATTACAGGGTCTACTTAAATAAATGGATAAAATTTTTAAACAGGGTGTCATTTAGACCAGTTACAGGGCCTACTTAAATAAATGGATAGAATTCTTATACAGCGTGTCATTTATAACAATTACAGGGCCTACTTAAATAAATGGATAAAATTCTTATACAGGGTGTCATTTAGAACAGTTACAGAGCCTACTTAAATAAATGGATAAAATTATCTTACAGGGTGTCATTTAGAACAATTACAGGGTCTTCTTAAATAAATGGATAAAATTCTTATACAGGGTGTCATTTAGAACAGTTACAGGGCCTACTTAAATAAATGGATAAAATTCTTATACAGCGTGTCATTTATAACAGTTACAGGGCCTACTAAAATAAATGGATAAAATTCTTATACAGGGTGTCATTTAGAACAGTTACAGGGCTACTTAAATAAATAGATAAAATTCTTGTACAGCGTGTCATTTATAACTGTTACAGGGCCTACTAAAATAGATGGATAAAATTATCTCACAGGGCTTCCCTTAAAAGAGATACATGGCGTACTTTTATCAATGGATAGAATTATTATACATACATGTACTCTTGAAAGTGATGTTCATAGCAACAGAATTAATTCATTTAATACAGATTCTCCCTTAATGCATATTTAATACAGATTCTCCCTTAATGCATATTTAATACAGATTCTCCCTTAATGCATATTTAATACAGATTCTTCCTTAATGCATATTTAATACAGATTCTTCCTTAATGCATATTTAATACAGATTCTTCCTTAATGCATATTTAATAAAAATAAAGATTCAATTCTTCTGTAAAGCGTCCTTCACAGTAAGAGCATGTTTAATATACATAATAGAACCTAGAGAATAGATAGAACCTTGAGATTAGGTAGAACCTAGAGAATAAATAGAACCTCGAAGTAAGATAGAATAGATAGAACCTAGAAAAAAGATAGAAAATAAAGAAGAAAATATCCTAGACGTTTTGATAATTCTTTTAAATTCTTGATTTTGTTTAAGCTGTGCTTAATATTAGAGTTTAATGATTGAATTGTTTACAATTAGAAGAGGAGATGATTTTTAAGATAAATATTTAATATTTTAAATACAAAAATCATGTGTTTGGATGGTGATGTGAGCAAAATATAATCCGAAATTAAATTATTTTATTTTATGTTTTTGATTGTTCTTTAAATGAAAAATTCTTTAATTACATTCATGTGTGATAAAACTTGAATTTGCTTGTTTTCCTTAATTCAATTCAACTGCAGCAATGTTTATATTTATGCAAACATTTTGCATGAACACATGGCTTAGTGCCAACTAGAACTTAAAGAGATATCCAACAAAGTTAGATTTTCTCACATAAATGATTTTCGTTAAATTAGATAATAATGTACGTTTCTTTTATCTCAGCAAATAATACGCAAATGTCAATGAAAACTTTAAAAACTATTTCTAAGAAAAGAAAATATATTTTACAATAAAAACATAATTTTTGGGGAATTTTTTGGTTGCCAATTATTCTTTTTTAGTTCAAGGTTTTTTTGCTTTAAGATAATATTTGAAAAGTATCCCTTTAACCTAACGTCTCAGAGTGATGTTCAGTCTGAGATAAACTAAGGCATAATTTCTTACGGCTCGTCACTTGAATTCTATTTTTGTAGAATATTGAGAAACTTGATTGAAATTTGATCGTTTGTGATTGTACGGTGTTAAAGAAAACAAGTTAATCAGTAAACATGGGAGAAGAAGGGAGTGTAATACCACAGGTTTTAGCAGCTCTCGGAGGTACCTAGAGAAACTAAACCTTACACTGACTGAGCACAGTCTAAAATCAAAGAAATTAGCCATTTTTTACGTGTTAATCGTTCTTCTTTTCATACTCCATCCTTACTTAATCCTAACTTCTTCTTTACTCCATCTCATCTTCATCTTTACGTCATTCTTTTTCTATCCTTACTTTACCCTAACTTCTTCTTTACTCCATCTCATCTTCATCTTTACTTCATTCTTTTTCCATCCTTACTTTATCCTAACTTCTACTTTACTCCATCTCATCTTCATTTTTACTTCTTTCTTTCTCCATCCTTACTTAATCCTAACTTCTTCTTTACTCCATCTCATCTTCATCTTTACTTCATTCTTTTTCCATCCTTACTTTATCCTAACTTCTACTTTACTCCATCTCATCTTCATTTTTACTTCTTTCTTTCTCCATCCTTACTTAATCCTAACTTCTTCTTTACTCCATCTAATCTTTATCTTTACTTCATTCTTTTTCCATTTTAACTTTATCCTAACTTCTTCTTTACTCCATCTCATCTTCATCTTTACTTTATTCTTTTTCCATCCTTACTTTATTCTAACTTCTTCTTCACTCCATCTCATCTTCATCTTTACTTCATTCTTTTTCCATCCTTACATTATCCTAACTTCTTCTTTACTCTATCTCATCTTCATCTTTACTTCATTCTTTTTCCATCCTTATTTCTTTTAAATTCCATTTCATCTCCATCATAACTTCATCCGTACTTAATCCTTGCTTCTTTTTTTCTCCATCTCAACTTTATACTCACTCCAACTCATCTCCATTAATTCTTCATCCGTACTTAATCCTTGTTATTTTTTTTCTCCATCTCAACTTTATCCTTACTCCATCTCATATCCATCATTACTTCATCCGTACTTAATCCTTGCTTATTTTTTTCTCCATCTCAACTTCATCCTTACTCCATCTCATATCCATCATTACTTCATCCGTACTTAATCCTTGCTTCTTTTTTTCTCCATCTCAACTTTATACTCACTCCAACTCATCTCCATTAATTCTTCATCCGTACTTAATCCTTGCTTCTTTTTTTCTCCATCTCAACTTCATCCTTACTCCATCTCATATCCATCATTACTTCATCCGTACTTAATAATACTTTACGCCATCTCAGCTTTATCCTTACTTCATCTCATCTCCTGTATGCTATTGCTGTACCTTCATGTGTTGATCATTTTTTACGAATTACGTTCCTAACTACTTTAATTTTTTGTTCCTAATTCCTAGTTCCTTATTCTTTTCCTAACTTGTAACTTGCTGAATGTTCCTATTTCTAACACTGTGTCCATAGACCCTAAATCCCTGTCTACTTTTGTTCCTAATTTCTTAACAATCTTTTTATTGTTCCTCAGATTATGTATTTCATTTATTATTCTTATGTTCTTAGTGCATGTATAAACTCCTAGTCTTTTTGCTTGTTCCTAGCTGGCTCAATAGTCAATGTTCCTCATTTGATGTTCCTAATCTAATTCTTCCTTGTTTGTTCCTAACTCGCCCAACATTTGTGTTATTGTATTGTTCCTTTTTATAAAGCTATAATGTTCCTAGTTCTTTTAATTTTTGTTAACCTTGTTCCTAAAATCCTAAGTTGCTTAACTTACATGTTTGTTTCTAATTTTAAATACGTATCTTCTTATCTATGATTTGATATACCAAGTTCTTTGTTTTTCTATTTTATATCTTTATATAACTTGTAAAAGTGGCACATACGATTAATCAAATTAAGAACATTATTTAATCAAATCGGGAACATTTTTGCCTCAAAATCTTAGAGGGGGGTCCGTCAGAGGGGTGTGAAGGTACCCCCGCCTCCCCTTGTGTCCTACCTTGGTTGCATTAAATGACAAGCCCTATAAATGATGTTGAAACGTTTAATGAAATTAAAAATATGCATGACGAACATTATTAATTATCGCTATTATAAAAAACTTTTTTTTTCAGCCACCCTTGGTGCTTTCTCTCTGGGTACTGTACTAAGCTGGCCAGCCCCCTCTCAATCGTATATTCAAGGTAGATAAACAGCTGTTTATACATTGGGACCAATAACATTTTGGAATACGAATACGATATTTCAATTTGGTTTACAAAGTACCGTGAAATTCAAATTATTAAGTGAAATCAGGAAACTACGCAAATGCTTTGCTTTATGTTCCTCACACCTTGAGTCTAAAAGTCGTCTTCCTATTTCACAACTTTATGGGTCCCACCGTAGGTCGTCTTTTTAAGTCCTGACCTAATATAATACAATTTGTCTGTAGCTGGAGCTGATGGAACTTGCAAGGTAGACTTCGAGTGCTTAACAAAGGACGAATGGAGTCAGGTGAGAAACAACGACGACATTTAAAATCGTGGAAGCAAATTGTTAATATTTTTTTATTCTTATCAACTTCGCATGCAAACTTTTAATACAAACAATGTTATTAAATAGCTATCGAGATTAATAAAATCTTAAAGTCGTCTTTAGTAAGACACACTTTAACTTTGGAAAGACGACATTTATTGAATTTATTTTACACAAACTAACTTCTATTGTTAATAGGTCGCTGCTCTGAGCAACATTGGAGGAGCAATAGTTCCCGTGGTGGCTCTCTTCTTGTTTCCATTTATTGGAAAGAAATGGACAATGATGTCTTTAGGGAATATATTAATCAACATAAAAACAAACATGGACATTAGTAATTTATTCTTTATAGAACTGGAATCAATAAGACATTTGATTTATAAAAAAAATAATAAACTTAATTTTTCTTCTTAGTTTATTTTTAACCTACTTCCTTCATATAAAGAACACATATTAAAGCATTTACCTAAGCAACGGAGTTACTTTCGTTTTCTATTTCAAAACGGATGGTTTACGGGCTTGGCTTTGATTCAGGATAACTCGTACATTTCTGCACGAAATTCAAGCAATAATATAGCCTGGATTTATTGCTATTGCTTTTAAAAAAAAATAGTATTTTGTACAGTGAAACCCTTAATAACGAATACATCGGAAGAATTTATCAAATGTCGTCTTGACAATTTTTCAATGAGTTTTATACTTTATTTCGTAAATTTCAGTATTTGCGAAAATAAATAAATAGCCATGAATATGCGGGAACAATTTTAAAGAGTTCCATATAATCATTTAATTAAAAAACTAAATATCTGCAACATTCCATTATCAGAAAGTGAAGAATACGACATTTGATGAATCCTTTGATGTATTCGCTATTAAGGGTTTCACTGTATTTTGTTACAAATCGGAAAATACGTTGAAAATTCCTTTAAGATTTAAAGTTTGTACACTAAAAGGAAAACATGTGGCTGGCTGCCATACCCTTATCTTAATTATTTGTGTTTCTTCAAAACAAACAAAGAATTATCAAGAGAGATAAAATTGCTTCAGAAAAATGCAGCAAATCTTTTTTTTATTTATTGATTAATTAATTGAAACGCAGTTATTCCATTTATCGCTGGTTGGGTTCTGCTTATCTTCTCAACTCAGCCCTGGATGTTCTACTTAGGTCGTCTTCTTACTGGATTCTCAGGTAGAACAAGGTCGTCTTCTCATGTAATATATGTTGTATAGGTCGTCTTCTTACGGGATTCTCAGGTAATACACAAATCGTCTTCCTTCTAGATTCTTAGGTAATACAAGGTCGTCTTCTTACTGGATTCTTAGGTAATACACAGGCCGTCTTCTTACTGGATTCTCAGGAAGTACACACTACACAGATCGTTTTCTTACTGGATTCTCGTGTAATACAAGGTCGTCATCGTACTGGATTATCGAGTAATATTTATTACATAGGTCGTCTTCTTACTGGATTCTCAGGTAATCAAGGTCATCATCTTTCTGGATTCTCAGGTAATACAAGTCCGTCTTCTTGCTGGATTCTCAGGTAATATATTTTATAAAGGTCGTCTTCTTATTGGATTCTCAGGTAATACACAGATCGTCTTTTAACTGGATTCTCAGGTAATACAAAGTCGTCTTCTTACTGGATTCTCAGATAATAAAGGTAATATGGGTCGTCTTCTTACTGGATTCTCAGGAAATATAAAGTCGTCTTCTTTCTGGATTCTCAAGTAATACAAGATCGTCTTCTCATGTAATATATGTCATATAGCTCGTCTTCAAACTGGATTCTCGTGTAATAGAAGGTCGTCTTCGTACTGGATTATCGGGTAATATTTATTACATAGGTCGCCTTCTTTCTGCTTCTCAGGTAATATATAGGTTGTATTCTTTCTGAATTCTCAGGTAATATATAGGTCGTCTTCTTTCTGAATTCTCAGGTAATATATAGGTCGTTTTCATTCTGAATTCTCAGGTAATACACCGGTCACCTTCTTACTTGACTCTCAAGTAATACATATATCGCCTTCTTAGTTGTTTCTCAGGTCTTCCTATTTCACAGTTTTATGGGTTTCACTGTAAAATCCTTTTTAAGGTGGAGCCTTTGCCATCGCCGCTCCCTCGTATTCAAACGAGATCGCTGAACCAAGAATTCGTGGCGCTCTTGGCAGCCTCATGCAGGTATATAGAAGATCATAGAAAAATGCACTTAAATCGTGATTTAAAATGTAATATAAAAAACGATTTCCGGTAAACTACAGGCCTTGGTTAAAAGTCCAGAGAGTCTTAACATTAGAACCCATGTTCATCCACTAAATGTAGATTTATCGTATTTGCTATTTTTTACTCTTTTGTAAGGCTTTATATTTTTAATAGTAAAGTATATGTAGTATTAGTATATACAAGTAAAACGGTTGACTTCGTTGAACTAGTAGTAGTTTTACGTCAATTAAATAACAAAAGGAGTTTTAAGTTATTATATTTTTTTTAAATCTTTCTGTGGGATAGTTTCTTTGAATCTTATCTCATGGGGCATCTTTTTTTCGAATACTCGTAAAACACAAACGCGGAATGTTTTTTCATGTTTGGCCTTTTTGCATATTCTAGACGTAACGTTTTGGTCCCTTTGCAGCCTTTGGGGCCTCAAACGGCCTAACCTAGCCTAGAGTTTTTCATGGCATCATATTTTTGTTTTATGAGATTTATATTCCTAGTTGATGATTTGCCTGGGAATACTGTTTATGTTTGTAGCGGGGAAAGCAAACTGGCAGGTAACAGCATTACATTGAAGAAACTAATCGTCGACAGGGGATTGGCAAATTTGAAGGAAATGGGGGCAAATTGTTTTTAAATGATGATAAAAAAATAGGGGGCAAAATTTGTTTTTACATTAACTTTTTAGGGGCAAATGCGAGTGGGAAAGGGGCTTTTTTATGTTTGGGGCATTTAGTTTTGGAGGCGTTTGCTAATGGGGGCAACTTTATATTTTCTTGTGGCAATTTTATGAATATTAGGGTCAATCAAAGTAAAATTGTGGGCAAGTTGAAAAGATTTTGGGGGCAATTTTAAAATTATTGGGGGCAAATGTGTTAGTGTAATTTGAAAATGTTTTTTTTTACAATTTGGGGCATTTTTTAAAGTTAGGGGCAGAAAGTAATTTTGGGATCGAGAAAATCAGCTATTTTGGGAATTATATGGACCCCTGATCGTCGATGATTTTGACGTTATTCATAAAATTCAAATTTAGACAAGTTTCTTGATATATTTGACAAGGCGTAGAAATGTTAGACCAAATTTTGGCATTCTCAAGACTTTTGGTTTTTGGTGTGAATGGTTATTTACGGGATACATCCCAAATTTACGGGATTGGGAAACCTCCCAAATTTACGGGATTGGGATACATCCCAAATTTAGGGGATTGGGAAACATCCCAAATTTACTGGATTGGGATACATCCCAAATTTACGGGATTGGGATACATCCCATATTGTTTTCTTAAAAATAATGTCACGTGGAACATGGACGATGTAAAAGAAGTTGCTTAATTTCCATGTTTATTTGGACACCCTGTATTTTTCTTGAATATATAGATATTCGGGACACCCTGCATCTTCCTTGCATATATAGATATTCTAAACTTGCCTGTTACAGGTAATAACTGGAGTGTGTATAATTTTCCCAACCCTAATGGCAGTCTCTCTCTTTTGGTTTCCTAGATCACCTAAGTTCCTCATTCAAAAGGTAATTTTTAACCTTTTTTACCTTAGCTGGAAACTTTTAAATAGAAGAAATTAACTAAAGGCGATTAAAAAAATAAGCCACTCCCCGGCCAAATTTTTTAATCTTTATATCTTTGCATTCTGATGGTGTATTTTGATATTTTAAACCTAAATTATTTAATCTAACAGAATTTATAGGACTACAAAATTGGGTTGCAAAGATTTAGAATTTAAAAAATCAGAGCTTGTGGCAAAGACTCAATTCTTTTGCAGAGTTGACCGGAGAGAAATCAGTTATCCTCGAAATCAAGAAACTCAGATAATTTTCAAAAGTTTCAAGCTCCTGGTTTAAAGATTTAACTTATTATTATTTTTGACTGGTACGTTTAAATAAAAAATATCAGATCTGGAAATGGTGGATCAAGGACTTTCCATAAAATGATTGAAAAACTACAGTTTAACTAGAAAACTCTGGAATAGGAAGTCAAGTTATGAACATAAGGCACATTGTGCAGTGTAAATAGACGCATTTCACTTAATTACTTACTATAATATAGCTATTTGTTGTGTCACAACATCAAATACACTTAAGTGTTGCTTCAATGTCGTCTCCTATTCTACAGTTTTCTGCGGAGAGCGAAAAAATTATTTTTAATCTCCACTTTGAACATTTAATCAGGGTTCGCTCAAAGATGTTCTAAGAAGTATTTACACGCGAAGAATCTAAAAAGGATATAAGTTTTTGCCACAAACACTGATTTTCTAATCCTTGCATGTTGTAGACCTTAGATTTTTAAATTTATAAATTCTGTTAAATCAAATAAGCAAAGTTTGAAATATCAAAGGTCTGCGACATTGGATGCAAAGATATAGGGTATAGAATAGGGTTTCCACCGGAATTCCGGGTTACGGTTTACGTACGGAAATGATCCGAAATTTTTTTCCATTTCCATTATGGAAAAGGTTCCGGAAAACCGGAATTCCGGAACGATTTTTTTCCGTAAACCGGAAATTTCCGGGACGTTGTTCTGGAATTACGGAACGTTACGGAATAGAGTTCCGGAAAATTCCGGTTTACGGAACAATTGTTCCAGAATTTTCCGGAAAAAGGTTCCGGAAAACGTTGAAGACATCTTAAACTTATGTAAAAGATAAAACCAGTAAGTAATATCTACAGAATAATAGAATGTGCGCCTGGTGTAGCTGTAGTCATGTACAGCAATCCTTGAGTCTAATTAATCTTGTTACAAAGGAAATAGGTTAAATAGTAACTTATAAAATCACTTTTAAATTGGTCTGTATACAGTATAGTATATACTACGTAATTGCCGTGTCTCATGTTCATTGAACTATTTAGAGTCATAATTTAAGTCTAATAGTCGTCCTCCTATTCCAGAATTTTCTGGTTCTCACTCTATTTATATACTTTGCTCGTCTGTTTGTTTGTCCGTTTGTATCCAATAAACGTCCAAACAGCTGAACCGACCGAGCCCAACATTTGTGAGGCAACTCACATGGCCCAAGGGAAAACAATTTATGCGGGAAAAAACGTCGAAATATATTATTTTTTATTTACCAGTTTAAAGCCTGTAGTTTTTATAAACTCTTATTTATATGGTTAATTTCATCCCATCCTGATCAAATACGGAGGGGGAGGGGGGGGGGCATAAGCCTATCCGATGACCCTCTTGAAAAATAAAAACTAATTTGTCAAAAAATATTGTGGGGAAAAGTGAACTGAAAACTGTAACTGAAAAGTAGTCATGATGAACTATAGTGAAATATTTGTGAATATATAATTGTAGAACTAAATGCGTATTTAATGTATGCCAACTAATAAGTTTTAACTTTTAATGTTTTAACATTGCTTTCTATGTCTAATATTGTGTTAAAATTTCCGGTTTACGAAATGGAAACTGGTAATTTTACGGTTTACTTCACGTAAAACTGAAAAATTTCCGGTTTACGAAACGGAAACTGGAAATTTTACGGTTTCCATTCCGTAAACCGGAAAAATTTCCGGTTTACGTAACGTAAACCGTAAACATTCTGGTTTCCATTTGATCCGGAATTATCCCGGAATTCCGGTTTACGCAACAAATTTCCGGATCATTCCATTTCCAAAATGGAAATTATTTTCCGGAAAAACGGAAACCCTAGTATAGAAATTATGATTTTATGGCAAAACTCAATTCCTTTATATTATCTAGGGTGACATGGAAGGAGCAAGGAAGTCTCTTCAGTTTTTCAGAAAAAAGTCCAATGTTGAAGATGAACTATCTCAAATTCAGGTTTAGTGTAAAAAATTAATCATAATTTTATTCAAATTGAATGAAAGATAAATAAAAAGATAAAAATCATTTCAAAGAAACATCCAGTTATATTTTTATATTGGATGATTAAATCAATATTGAAATTCAAGTTTTGTAGTACACAAAAGCAAATAAATTTTATGTTTAATCATAGCTGATCAGAAAAAAAAGATTTACGTTTATATCAGAGATGATCAGAGAAATATTATGGTTTAGGTTTAGATCATATAGATGATTAAAGAAATATTATGGTTTAGGTTTAGATCATATAGATGATTAAAGAAATATTATAGTTTTGGTTTAGATCATAGATGATTAGAGAAATAATATGGTTTAGGTTTAGATCATAGATGATTAGAGAAATATTATGGTTTAGGTTTAGATCATAGATGATTAGAGAAATATTATGGTTTAGGTTTAGATCACGGAAAATTAGAAAAATAATGCAAGGGCGAATTTAGAAAAATGTTAAAGAAAGGACAAGTTTTCAAGGAAAAACAAATTCACTATAAATAACATTTTAAAAAAATCTGTGACAGGAAGAAGTCTCAGATCTCCTTAAAATTGGAACAATTTCTCCGATAACAATGGTCACTCGTGGCGTTTATCTGAAGGTAAAAATATTTTCTAAAAAACAAAACAATGTTTAAATTACAGGCACTTTCCATTTATCAAGGAAAAGGATAGTTTTAATGGAAAAAAATTAAATTGAAATCTGAATCTATTGTTGTCAACCGAGTTTTGTGGATGCATTGCAGGGTAGCAGTTAAAACTTAGATAATTCAATTGATTTTTAACAAACAATTTTTAAAAAACAATCTATTTATGTTAAAATTACAGGCACTCTCAATTTATTAAGGAAAAGGATATTTTTAATTGAAAAAATTGAAATATGAATCTATTACTGTCAACCGATTTTTGTGTATGCATTGCAGGGTATCAGTTAAAACTTAGATTATTCAATTGATTTTTAACAATCCTAGTATCTTTAAATAAATAATTAAATAAATTAAATAAAAATGTAAGTCGAATAATTGATAATAAATAATTAAAATAATTTTATCATAATTATCTATACAATTGTATCAGAATGGATTTTTTGTTCTCAGACGTTACTGGAGAGTTTAAACAAGGGTCACCCTCGTTATAACTGTCCGGTAATGTATACGTATCATGTACACGAACCTCTGATCCTTTAGTAAAAGTAAATTCAACCTAAAGTCTGACCGCTTCAATCTTGTTGCACCGCCTAGTCCTATTGAGTGTCTGCTTTATTTACACCAAAGAAATATAATGTAAAGATAGTTATTTCAGAGGTGTACGCATTTTTATAGTACTGCAGTGTACTGTCTTTGGGCGGTAATGTAAACACAAGACAGATGTCACAGCCTGACATGGGAACCATCTTTCGCATAAAAAATCATTGAAATATTCTGATCATAGGAAACTATTATGTGAATTATCAAAATTTTAAAAATTAAATGCTTTTATCCTCCTCGGATACTAGAGTAAAACTGATCCATCTATTCTTGTTTACAAACACCGCCCACAGAGAATTGGTTTCAATATTTACGCAGAGAATATGCAAAAGCAATTAACTTTCCTTACTACCTTGATTTACACTATGTCCGGCGATACGGTACAAACTAGGACTGGAAAGGTTGACCCGGCTTGGAAATTCAAATGTACTACGGCCGCCCGCTCCGACTTATAATGGTACACTTAAAAGCTTTCCCAGATCAAAGCTGAAGGAGATATTCATCATCTTCTCTTTGAAAATTGATTATTTTCAATTGTTAGGTCTCTATTGACTTGCGGATTTTTTATTTCTAAAACAATTATGGAAATTTTCAGAATTGAATATTTTTCAGGCAGAAAAACGACTTGAATAGTCAGATAATATTGTTCAAGGATACCGTTGTGAATGAGACAAGCTCTTGTCTAAATTAAAGGCCAGTGGGAAACTTGGAATTAAAATTTAAAAAAAACTTAATATCTTGTATTTTTTAGCCATTCCTGGTTTCCTTGTCTCTAATGGCTTTCCAACAGTTCTCATATTATAAAATAAAGAAAACTAAAAAAAGGACGGAGATAAAATTTAAAGGGTAAAACCTGAGTATATACCAACCTATTTAAAGACCAATGTACAAAGATACATTATTTTTATAGTATGTTTTTTTCATATCTTTGATCAAATTTGATACTAAAAATAATGCCTAAGATTTAAAATGTACAAATTTTATAGTTTCAGCGAAAGGAATTGAGTCTTTGCCACAAATCCCAATTTTCCAATACCTATATTTCTAAAACCAAATGATGTAAACCTTTGATATTTCGAACTTATATTGTTTGATATAACAGAAGTCATAGTTTGAAATATCTAAGGTCTATATCATTGGGTTGTTAAGATATAGGATTTAAAATTCAAACTTTGTGGCAAAAACTCAATTCCTTTACAACCTAAAGCTTTTGAAGACCCTAGTCTTAAAGAGCGAAAAAACTAAGGAGGTTGGGTTTTACTAAACTCAAGGTCATCCAAATCCTGGGATTGACTTCAGCTTTACTTGGGTCTAAGCAGACGCAAAGACCGAGTCTTACTCGAGTTTAAGATTTTAAAATCTCAGCTCTGTTGATAAGTGAAAAGAAACCTAGCTTATGTTCAGGATGCAGGGAGTGAGATAGATGAGAACTTAAGTTCTATCCTGGTTGGTATTGTTCAAGTTTTAGGAACTGGATTAGCCATCCTTATTGTAGATAGGTATTTTCAAGGCACTATATACAGGAACACCCAACTCAGACATACGCATATTATGTACTGTACACTGTGGGAGGAATGTAAACAAACACAGTGCCCTCACAGAAGTTGAAGGGAAAAGATGTGATATTACAGTGCAACAAAAAAAACAAGTTAATATATCAAGTTTTGGCTTTCTGGCAAGATGGAAAATACAATAGCAATATATTTTTATTCCACCCCTTAAGCCCTTTTTCCTAAAAAATGATGCGTTGCCCCTGAATTCTTTGTTTTAATCTCCTCCCACTGCAGTACACAGATTTGACGCATGAGATATGGCTGTTCATGGTCTAGATATTTTTGGGTATTGTCACAGATATTTAAATGTTTGATGACCGGTCCAACCCACACTCCATACACAGCACAAATATTTCATGAAACATATTCTTTAAATATTTTTCCGCTTCCCGCAAATTAACAAATAATAGATGAAAACATATAGTACTTAAATTGAGAAAAAAGCTGAACATGGTCGTCACCTAACCTTGAAAATGCTGTAGATTTGGTCGTAAACTGCTTCTGGCCTCTTCTGCTATACTGATGTGTATTGCAACAAGCTTACTTGGGGTCTTCTTCTTTCTCAAGGAAAATGTTAGTGATCCAGGTGAAAGAAGTCTTAGAATTTTTTTCTTATAATTCTCTAAAGAAGGATCTGTCGATCTAATATTAAATGAAAAACTACGGTTCCAATTCACAACGGTACCCATTTCAAATTTGCCTTAGCCAAATTATTTTAATCATTGTTTTTTCTTTGTTCTACTAAAGGGAATGTTCGCGAAAAATTAAAGGGGTATAGGCTTAATGCGATAAAAAAGCGCTTTTGATCGCTTCTAATCTTACTTCTATCTGTTGCGTCTATTAAGGAGAAAATTGTTAAAGACGTCTCATACCGAATAACATGGCGTCCATACAAATTCAGAAAGATGCAACATACGACTTAGACCGTAAAAAAATCTATTTAATTTCAAACAAATCATTCAGATATTATAACTTATGGTCATCGATTATCTTTCGCTCCATTTGTAAATAGTTGATTTTTCATCAGATGTTTACTTTTAATTTTTTGTTTGTGATAAAATATTATCATGTACAAATTAAATGCCAAAGATAAGAAGATTTTGAAATTCAGATTGATACTAAAAACTAACAAACAAATCTTTTTAAATAAAGATTAAATACCTTTTCAAATATATATCCGTCTATGAATTATGATTTCACACAAAACGTAAAATAATCATTTGAATTTGAGATAATTAATTTTTCAAATTAAGTAATTTTGCCGAATTTTGTAAAAATAAATTTTATTCTCGAAAATTAAAGTTTTTATCTATAAAATCTACTATTCGAATGCTTCGGATGGAAAAAAAAACATTTTTGGACGAAGCTGTTTTTGTTTTAGAGAATGGTGCCAACAGCACGTTAACATTTTCTTCAACAATATCACCAGAGGCAGGAGTAGAAGGATATATTTCACAAGTAAGCGTTTTTACATTTACAAAAAATAAATACTCTTAATTTTTTAATTCTGTATAAAATTTCTTAATTACGTTTTATTTTTAGGAGACATTGAANCCCCCCCTAAAAGTATCAATCTTAAAAAAAAACGTATTATTGAATTATTTTAAACATGAAGTTTCAATGATACAAAAATATGACACTGAAACAGTTTGATGCTGTACATTGCTGGATTCTCTATTGGATTTGGACCCCTGCCTTGGGTCATGAACGTTGAACTTTTCTCATCTGAAGCTAGGGTAAAATGTTTATTATTGTTGTTGTCGATCAGCTGTTTTTTAATGATTTTTCCCAGCAAACCAAATAACGTTGCAAGAATGTAAGTAATATACAGAAAGTAGTAATCACTGTCTGTTTGTATGTCCGATCATATCCCATGAACCCCTGGACCGATTTGCCTCGTCAGATTGGGGAACCAGGGGAATTTTCTCAGCTTGGTTTTAAGATTCTGAGTAAAGTGGGTTAACTGTTATAGGAAGAAATAGCTAAAATTGTAATTTGCAATCAAGTGCGGGTAAATGGCTGAAGTAACTATAAGAATCCTGATTAATACAGGGTTCTCAAGCTAGTAACAAAATAAATTAGCAAGTAATTATTCTTTAATAACTGCATCTCAAGAATATTTTTGCAATCTCAATATTGCAACAATACAACACAAACTCTTGAATATCTCTAGTATTTATTTTATCTTTTTATCTAGGAAATCTAAATGATATTGCAATATAATAATTGTAACATAATAATCATCGCATACAGGGTGTCCCAATAAACATGGGAATTGAACAAATTCAAGCTTGTCTTTGTTTAGAATTAGCTAAGTAATACCTGATTTCAAAGTCATAATAATAGCAACATCTGCTAGAGAATTTATCTAATAAAATGGAGAAAGGCTATAATGCTTGTCTGGAATGTCTCTGCAAGATGAACAGTGAAAACAGACAAGTTTAATTTGTTTGTTTATGGAAATTTATTGTTTTACTGAGTACAAACATATGCAATTAATAATAAATAATAATAATAATAATAATAATAATAATAATAATAAAAATTCTAAACTCTAGCAGATGAAAATCCTATGAATTACAGCTTTCTCAGTAGGTTTCACTATACTAAATAAAAAATCATTTAAAAAGATTTCAAAATTGACACTCAATTCCCATGATTAATGGGACAGCCTGTAATAAAAAACATTGAACTTGTAAATGTTATTTTATGCAGGTACCAGCAAATGCTGCATGCGGTTCTTTAAATTGGTTGTTTTCCTATCTTGTTGTGTCTACAGTTCCAGCTCTACAGGTGAGTTATACAAAACATGAAACTCCTTACTCCTCAAAATTTCACAACAAAAAAGTGTACAAACAGTCCACAGGGCCTAGTTAAATTATTTTTTTATTTTAAATCCAAGTTAATAAAGTTCTTAATCACACCTGAAGGGCATGGTTATCTAGAGCAATTATTTTCAAATGCAACCTTTCGATATCGTCTTCTTTTGTCAAGACGACATTTTATAACATACAGGGTGTCCCAATATACATGGGAATTAAATGACAACTTTTATAGTCTTTGTTCCAAGCGGGATTATTTCGTAAACATAAATTTGTAGCATCATAGTTAAAACATTAAACATCAGTACTTGTCTCAAAATTTCCAAAATGTGGTCTACCATTTTTTTTACCTTTTTAATTGACGGAAATATTAGGAAATTTGTCCAGATTCCAGTTTGATAAAAAAAACAACTGTTTAAATGTTAATGTCTCCATCAATTATAAATATACAAAGAAGGTAGACCCCAGTTTGGAAAGCTCATTAGACTCTTATTCTTTTTTAATGCACTTTATGTCATTTATCATGTATAGTAAATCAAAGACGATATTCAAGTCGTCTCTCAATTCCCATGTTTATTGGGACACCCTGTATAAAAATATAAATTTTTCACTATTTCAGGATGCAACCAGCGCATCCTTTTTATACTTCCTGTTCTCCGGGGTGTGTTTGCTGGGCTTTTTTTTTGTAATCTTTGTGTGCCCAGAGACCAAGGGGAAGACAGAGCAGGAGATGAAAGATCATTACAGTTGAACATAACATTATTATAAATATAAATTTATAATTAATAAAAAAATACTTAGAATATAGTTTACTATAGAATAATTCAAACTTTGAATTTTTTAGGTCTGTCTGAATATAAAGCTGTAACCCAAAAAGAACAATGCTGATCCTGTAAAAAAAAAAATATTTTGAAAGCAATGAAAAAATATGAAGCTCTTGAAAGGATTTCAAAGGACATCCCTAAACCTTTTGGAAATTCAACTAACTGGTTGATTTTGTAACTGTAGTTTTAAAGATGAAAAAAAGAATTTTCTAAAAAGTATTTGCATGAAAGCAAAAATGTTTTAAAAATATAATCAATGACAATGCATGGATGCATGGATATTGCAGTGGCTTAAGGATGGATGTGGGGGGGGGGTGGTTGACAAAGAAGAAATAATTTTTAAAAAATGGTTGTTTTAAGTTCTTGAAATTAAAGCATTAATAATAATTGGATCAAGACCATCAACAAATTAAATGTTTGCAATTTATGGCACATGGTAATATTTGTAAAAAATATAAACATTTCTTAAACCCTTTTTTTGAACCTCCCTGACACCATTGGAATTTGATTTCTAAAATATAAACATTTCTTAAACCCTTTTTTTGAACCTCCCTGACACCATTGGAATTTGATTTCTAAAATATAAACATTTCTTAAACCCTTTTTTTGAACCTCCCTGACACCATTGGAATTTGATTTCTAAAATATAAACATTTCTTAAACCCTTTTTTTGAACCTCCCTGACACCATTGGAATTTGATTTCTAAAATATAAACATTTCTTAAACCCTTTTTTTGAACCTCCCTTACACCATTGGAATTTGATTTCTAAAATTTCTTAATTGGTTTTGATTGGATAGCCTCGATAGCCTTAAAGGTTTGTTGCATCCAATATTTTGAAGATATTCTATATTTTCATTATGTTATGTAGGTCAATTTAAATTAAATAGTTTTGGTTCCTTCAACATTAAAGTATTTCAGTGATTAAAAGTTTTATACGGGCCGTCACAGGGGGCTTACGTGCGGGTGCCACCCCCCTCCTGTGACTTGTGAGATCAAATGTAAGGTCAAGTTAGTGCTATTTCACTGAGTAAGAGGGTTTCGCTCAAAATTTAAGACAGGGTATCGTTCTGAAAACCAGTTTTTAAACCCTGGTTTCACGGATGGGTTAGACAGTTATGTGTTTTTTTTGAAATATCATTTTATTTAGTTTCTTCATATTCTCCTCCATTTTTCATCGAATCTCTTAAATCAAAATCTACACAAATGTTAAGACCCCAAAAGGAAACTCGAAGTTTCGTTCAAGGATACTCTTTTAAATTTCGGGCTGGTCTAGTTTCATATTCTTAAATAAATTTGCAAAAGGAAATGCTAACTAAACTTGTGATAAATATATAGATATATAACTATATAAATATATAGATATATAAATTCAAATAATAAATGTAGCCAACCTAGGTCACTTAGGCTCCTCGTCGTTTTCAGATCGGTTGTGTACAAGAACATCAGATAGAACTCTCATGGGTCCCGATCATCTCCAAAATGCTTAGGTTTCAACATATAAGCCAAATATAAGCTAAATATCAGCAAAATATGTTCACTAAATATTTACTACATATTAATTTAGCAAAACTAAAACTCAGCTGGATTTTAGCAAAATATGACCAACTAGCTGAAGTGGCCGGTGTTGACCGTATGATTTAAAAAAAAAAAAATTTGAAACAAATCGATTATTTTGGTTTTTAGGATTCCCTCAAAATTTTCAGCCATTTTGCCAGCTTTTGCTAACATATACAAATATAATATACATATATGTACACAACATACATATATATACTTATATACAAATATAAACATGAGAGTGAAGAGCTTTATTTTATAGATATATTCTCAAAACATTACCCAAATATTTGCTAAATATTAGCTTAATTTTAAATAAATTTTTGCCTAATATTAGAAAAATATTAGCAAAAATTACCAAAATGCTGTCCAAAAATTTTTGATTTTTAAGATATTTTGAAAATGCGCCAAAAAATAATATTAAATCCGCGATTTTTTGTTAACAGATAGAGCCACAATTAAAACTTGAAAAAGAAAATGGATAAATTTTAGCTAAAAATTGACAAGGTTTAAATAAAAAATGGTAAAATTGTAACAACATTATTCTGAAATAATATTTGTGAATAAGAGATGTACATTTCAGGGACAAGGACGGAAAGCCCCTGACAGAGAGAGGGGAGGATGGCAAACCTCCAGTAAACCAGGAGCTTCAGGTATTAAAGGGAGGATGGCAAAAGCTTTCTGAGCCCAACAGTGATTGGTATACGCAAATCCTCTGTTTTCTTGTTAAGACAGCTGAATAGTTTAATTCATAATTGTTTAAAAACATATGTTAAAGGTTGGTCGAGAAAAATTTGAATTCCCTCAAAAAAAAATTTTTTTAGTATGCGATAATTGAATCTTATGCAAGTCTATGTTAAAACCACAAAAGGAATGTCATTTACTCTCAGACTAATTAGATTTAATTTTTTTATGATCTGTGGCCGAATTTAAAGAATTTGAGCGGCGGTTTAAATTTAAGCCGCGGCTTAAATGTGGTTGGTTCCGCTTAAAATTGTATCAAATGTTTCAAGATTTAAGCCGGCGCTGAATTTAAACCGGGTTTTGGCAGATTTAAACCGCGGCTCAAATTCTTTAAATTCCATCTCAGAACTAATAATTTCCTTGATTAATTTGTACACCTAGGTTCGACAATGGAGTGATAGAATAATCAAGGTAGACATCTTCAAATACTTTTAACACTAAACTTTTTTTACTTGTGTTTTCTATTGTCTGTCAGGGCAGAATCTTTATAAATACAGTCTATATATAGGTTTAAGAAACATTAAAAATAAGAAACAATTAATAAATTGATAACAAAACATATTTTTTTTCTTTACTTTCCAAAATCATGAATATATTTCAAAGATTTGAGTTTAGACTGTAACACGAGATTGGAAAGTTAGAGGAGGTACACGGGAACGAACAGTAAAGTAAGTTTTTTTTAAAGTTGTCGCCGTTAATGTCGATCCAATGAAGACTACCTTTCTATAATTAAGGTTTCGATTTCTAATAAGTGTTTTTAAAAATACGAGTTTACAAGCAAAAACTAAAAGAATCTAATTAGTTAACAACTTCTGTTTCTTTCCATTTTTATGTGTATTTAAGCTGATTGATATAAGCCACGACTTCTGTTTAATTTTACATTTCAATATAAAGTTCTGCAGATCCTTTATGGTTATTGGAACTGCAAGGAAATCATTTAAAAACAATTATTGTGTTCTAGTTGTACACTTCTAGGCATAGAGAATAGAGTATATATATTAGAGTGGAATTTAGAGAATCTCTCGGTATGAATTTTTTCAGTCCCTTTCAGCCTGAAATATATAAAAAAGTGTACAAATCATGTAAATGTTTACAAATCATATGCAGTAGAGTACATTAATACAGTATGTTTCCTAGACTATTCATTTCAATTTCGAATTTTTTAAACTGTTAAATAAACTTTATAATGAATTAGGTGAATTAAAAACATCATTTGATTTATAGTTATAACGGAAAATCATCGTTTGTAAAGTGGAAGGCACAGAGTCTATGTGAAATGATCACTGGTCAATTATGAAACAAGCCTATTTCATAATTAGGTTTTCTTTTAACAATAATTTTAGATTTTCTATATAATGATATTCCAGGGGCAAAAGGTTGTATAGCATAAATATGTGAAGTACACCTGCAGTATGGAAACAGTACAACAGAATGGCCGTTTTACACTTTTTTCTAGTAAATTCCCCTCTAATATATATTCTATTCTCTATGCTTCTAGGCCAAATCATTGAAAAACTTTATGTATTGGAAAAGATCAAATTCAATCTTCTTATTTTTCTATTCTAAAAAAATTTGGAAATGGACCAATGATACATGACGTCACAAGTGTCAAATATAACAAGGAAAACAACATTTTCTTCCAATAGTTGACATGTTTTCCAAGATTAAATTAAAAAGTGTAAAAACAGAAAATAAAGAAAACAAAATTGGACTTATTTCACTGTAAGATAAGCACTTTATTATCACTATTATTAATAATTTGTCGGTCACTTGTGACGTAAGAAAACAGCAGTACTGAGAGTGTTCGAATTCTACGTTGCCATCTATTGTACGTGATAATCTATTTGATTTCATACTTTATTGTATTTGTAACCCTGTGGATGGAATTTAACGGGATTTTAGGCTTGTCTTAAAAGTTTAAATCAGGAGACAAATTGCAACCACATTTTAGAAATCTCATAACAGTCATAGTTGGTCCGGATTTTATTATTATTTTGATTATTATTTCAAAATATGATTTAATTTTTTTTTTCCTGTAAATCCTTATAATTAAAAAAAAAATTGTTTTTGTCCAGTGTTGTTGTAACTCTAGCAGTAAAATAAACTTGTATTTGTCCAGTGTTGTTGTAACTCCAGCAGTAAAAAGAGAAGTACAAGCCCACTTTAACTGTGAGACACTAGAGGGCGCTGAATTAGAAGATCAGGTTTTAATCAAAATTGATTTTTCTTATTTAATTTATACATTTTGGCATGAAAAGACGACTATCGATAAAATATTTTAGGTCGTCTTTTATAATAAGGAGTTTATTTAAAATCATTTTTACAAGGGAGGAGATGGAACAGCGTTTACTCATTGGGAAAAGAGAATATTTCAAAATGAGGCCATGACAGGAACTGTACACACAGATAAGTAAGACGACATTACCGTAGTAAACTACAATATTACAGTAACTGTACACACAGATAAGTAAGACGACATTACCATTGCTAACTACAATATTACAGTAACTGTACACACACATAAGTAAGACGACATTACCATTGCTAACTACAATATTACAGTAACTGTACACACAGATAAGTAAGACGACATTACCATTGCTAACTACAATATTACAGTAACTGTACAGTTGTACACACAGATAAGTAAGATGACATTGCTATTGCAAACTACAATATTACAGTAACTGTACACACAGAAAAGTAAGACGACATTACCATTGCAAACTACAATTTTACAGTAACTCTACACACAGATAAGTAAAACGACATCACCATTGCAAACTACAATATAACAGAAACTGTAGATACAGTTTTAAGATGTTCTGAATTTATGATTACTAAATGTCAACAATATTTTTCTAATTCAAAGATTTTTTTTGTCAAACAGCTTAATTCTGTACCACACTGTATCCGCAAAGAATTAAAGTCCTAGAACTTGGCCCTGAAAAAGTCCTGTAGAAAGAAAGTCCCCAAACTGACAGGCCTTCAACAAGAAAGTCCCACCATTTTGAGACTTTATTGGCATTGAGTACTTTTTTGGAATATACACCATTCTTTAACTTTTCATTATTTCAGTCCAATCTATTCTCGCCTGAGCTTAGCTTTGATGGAGGACAGTGGATGGTATATTCCAGACTATTCATTGGGTAGGGTATTCCGGGGCGTATACAGGGATTTGTCTAGGGGGGTATTAACCTTTATGACTTTCCATTAGTGAGGGGGGGGGGATAGAGTCCCCTCCTTCAGTTATACTCCTTCAGAAAATGTTACTTTGAAAACTTGAAAACTGACAAACCCATTTAACGATTAATGTTAGACCAGAGGTCAGATTTAATTAATAGCAAGAAGTAGTTGAATTAAGAAAGCGATAGCAAAACGCGATCTTGGTCACACCACAGTAGTAGTTTGATTACTCCTAACCAGTTCAACTACTTCTCTGTATTTATTAATTTTTACCTCAGACGACTTTTTACAATCTTAATATTATGAAACTATTGTACTTTGTCATTTTTACTCACTTCATGATTAACTTTATTATGAAAGTGCTATAAAGTAATCATCGTGCTATAAAGTTAAATTAGCTGTACATTATAGCAAGTGCGCTATAAAGTTCTGATTGGTTCCCAGATTTGGTCCAACAAATTTAGGATATTTCCAAAATATTTTTTTCAATATAAGTAAAAGCAAAATTTAAATTAACTTTAAATTTTTATTTCTGCTTTCTGAGAAATCTTATTTTATCTAGAAACGTTCCATAAAATTATCTATAACACTATTATTTCGGCAGGACTTGCTGTAAAGATTTGGACTTAAATTTTCTCTTTATCGAGAAGGTTCAAGGCATTTTAGGTTTTATTTTGTCCCGAGCTTTTATAACACTGCGAACCAAAATAATTATGTTATAAATAGTTAATTATTTATTTTATTATATTAATATTTTCTTCATTATTTTAAGCTTCGTCACTAAGTTGGGGTGCAGGAGCAGGCTGTGATTTCCCAACCAAATCCTGCAAGGAACTCATGGCTTTAGGTATTTTTATTAATTTCATTTATGGTAAATTTTACGAAGCCATTGCATAAGATTGTTTTCAGAACAAGCAAACCTTAGCATAATGAAATATTTTTTAAATGTTGAACACGTATCCGGAAAAGAATTAATTATATAGGGCGTCCCCCAAACCATGAGAAATAAATGACGATTTCTATATCGTCTTTGTTCCAGGAGGGAAAATCAAAAAAACTGTTCAAATGTTTAATATCTCCGCGGCAATTTTAAAGATACAAATAAGAAAGCCTACATTTTGGAAAGCTCATAAGGCGTTCATCCTTTTTTTGATGCACTTTATGTAATTTATCAAATATCAGATATCAAAGACGATATTCAAGTCGTCTCTTAATTTCCATGTTCAATGGGACACCCTGTCTTAAAAACGCGTTTTTTAAATCGTCCCTGATGAGGTTAAAATATCTTTACATGATGATTACAAAATACGCAAATATATCTTAAGATGTGGACATTTTGTTGATTTTGTTGATTTTGTTGATTTGGTTGATTTGGATGATTTGGTTGATTTGGTTGATTTGGTTGATTTGGATAATTTGGATAATTTGGTTAATTTAGTTCATTTGGTTGATTTGGTTAGTTTGGTTCAATTGGTTCATTTGGTTCATTTGGTTGTACGACTTTGATGGCGCACATGCGAAAACAGCAGTCTTAAACCCCATTTGTCTTGTAGCACAGACATCAGGCATTGTAAAAACCTAATTTTGATTCCAATCAAAAGTGATTGCTGTAATCATTCTAAAACTGCCTTTAGATTTAATGTGAGAATTGTTTACTCTCAACAGTATGCCAAAAACCGTTAGAAGCCATGTACTGAATTTATACCCTTTAGTACTGAAGCTAAATCTAAAAATTAGGTTTTTTATGGTTTTAATGTTTATTGGAACAAGGGAACTATAAAAATACAAAAGTTAAGACCCCGGAATAATTAATTAATATCTGATAGAGAAGGCAATTCAATTACTTTTTATTATTAGTTTAGATAATGTGCAATATAAGTTCAATTATTATCATTATTATAAAGATCTTTTCACACACATAGATATAAATACATATATAAATGGTGTATTTTAAATTTGTTTAAATAATTTGAACATATAGTTTTACAAAAGAAAAAAAGAATAATATGCAAAATTAAAGATTAAAAAGAGGCGTCGTTTGTTAATATTCTGCTCACAGTAAAATTGAGCTTATTTCATGAGAATAGTCTGAATAATCTAAAAGTAAACATGACAAAAACTATTGATATGTTTTCACAAATGTCCCAATCTGTAGGTTTCAGAAATTTAAGGTTTATACCTTTATGTTGTTTATTTCCTTTAATTAGAGTGATTTAAAAAAGATTGTTTTTAAAGACCCAGTAAGCAATTGTTTAAAAAATATTTTTTAAACTTTCTATTATCAATGCAGTAAATGCTGTCAAAGTGAAGAAAAACTTTAGTTTTGTCATCCACGATCAGAAAATGTTCAAACTATAGATTTTAAATTTTTAATATTCTTATTGTAGCTGAGGAGAAAGACTCTTCAAGTCCTTTCTGTAACACAATGATGCAGAATGCAGAGAAGGTATAACATTATATAATATGGTCAGTGATGCTTCGTTTTCGACCCCATTTTAACTCATTAAATTCAGATTTCTAGTATTTTCTATTTTTTACTACAATGTGATGGCCAATACTATTAAGGTATTCTAAAATATCATGTTCTTTTAACTTTTTTTATGGATTTAAATATCATTTAATACTCACCACAAAAAAAAAACAGAAGTAAGATGTTCAAATTCAACGCTCAGTCCTTTTTTTAAAGAGTTTCAGGTCGTCTCATCCTTTGGGGTTAACCCTGTAGTTTTCTATAGTTTCGCGTTGATTGAAAATTGGGCATATGTTACTCAAATATAAAGCGATTGGATCTTGCAAATTTGAACCCTTTTTCTTGAGTCTTTGCCGCAAACTCTAACTTCAATTACTATATCCTTGCAACCTGATGGTGTACATCTTTGATATTTCAAACTTAGAAATTTTTTGCCAACAGAATTCAAGTTTAAAATATTTATGGTCTACGTTGTTGAGTTTGCAAAGATAGAGTTTAGAAAATCAGAGTTTGTGGCAAATTTCCTTTTACCCAAATATAATCATATTTAACAAGTCGTCATTTGTGTGTAACCCTAAATACAAATAGATTGTTTTTTTAGACGTATTGTACAGATGACGACCTATCTGTAGGTTCCTGTAACCTAGTAAAGTACTCCTCTAAAATCCCAAGAATTTATCAGGTATATTAGATCCACATCCACACACAATTTAAACATCGAACATTTAAAAATTAGAATTATTTCATAATTAATCAAACGACTTTACAATCGATAATAACCAAATAACCCTATATAGTCTCTCCTTCCAATTCCAAAATGTGGTCTGCCTTTATTGTGCGTTTAAAATTACCAGATATATATGTAAAGTCGTTTGATTAACTGTCAATTAATTCCGGGTCTTTATGGTTAGGGGCGTATACAAAATGATTAACTCCAGTTAAAGCTAGAGTTTACTCTCAAGAATGAGGAAATTTAGAAAGATAAGTTAACTGTTATTACAAAAAATTATGAAAAATTTAATTGAAAAATAATTTTCAGAATTTTGACAGCATTGAGGGTGTCGAGGATGCAGACTTAGGTAAAACTATTATTTTTCTTAATCATGGCTTATTCAGTTTTTTAAAATGTGTTTTAAATGTTTAGAATATATTGGGAGTTCTGTGATTCTTGCTGATTACTGCCCTTATGTCCAGGTATTATGGCTGATTACTGCCCTTGTGTCCAGGTATTATGGCTGATTACTGCCCTTATGTCCAGGTATTATGGCTGATTACTGCCCTTATGTCCAGGTATTATGGCTGATTACCGCCCTTATGTTCAAGTATTATGGCTGATTACTGTCCTTATGTCCAGGTATTATGGCTGATTACTGCCTTTATGTCCAGGTATTATGGCTGATTACTGTCCTTATGTCCAGGTATTATGGCTGATTACTGCCCTTATGTCCAGGTATTCTGGCTGATTACTGCCCTTATGTCCAGGTATTATGGCTGATTACTGCCCTTATGTCCAGGTATTATGGCTGACTACTGCCCTTATGTCCAGGTGTTCTGGCTGATTACTGCCCTTATGTCCAGGTATTATAGCTGACTACTGTCGTTATGTCCAGGTATTATGGCTGATTATTGCCCTTATGTCCAGGTATTATGGCTGATTACTGTCCTTATGTCCAGGTATTATGGCTGATTTCTGCCCTTATGTCCAGGTATTATGGCTGACTACTGCCCTTATGTCCAGGTATTATGGCTGATTACTGGACTTATGTCCAGGTATTATGACTGATTACTGCCCTTATGTCCAGGTATTATGGCTGATTACTGTCCTTATGTCCAGGTATTATGGCTGATTACTGTCCTTCTGTCCAGGTATTATGTCTGACTACTGCCCTTGTGACCAGGTATTATGGCTGTTTACTGGGATAGAACTAATGCTGGTCACGATCAACTCCTAAAATTTGTATTTAGGCTTCGGCTTATACCCCATTTCATTTTACCTGAAGAGTCCCTTTAAGAACTTCTCTGCCCTTACAATCTCTAAAAGGTTTTAATGATTTTGCATTCTTGTTAGATTCCGAAAGGGGTTGTTAGATATTTATAAAAAAGAACTACAGGGAAAGTTTTATTTTTTTATAATCCCAGAAATAAATCCACTCCACATTAATCTAGGTCTATGAAAAATATTGATTTAGGAGTTTAGTTGGTTAGGGGGAGGGGGAGTAGGGGGAGGAGAAGATCCAAGAGGAACAAGGTGAGTTTATTGGAAAAGTTTTTGTGGTTATCATTAATATACCTAAAGAAACATGGTAGGTTAAAAAGAAATGTTTGTGGTTATTATGAAAGGCCTAAGAAACATAGAGTTGGTTGGCACGGGCAGCCGTAGTACATTTGAATTTCCGAGCCGGGTCAACCTTTCCGGTCCCATTTTATACTGTACCCAGTTCTATGGACAACAAGGTTGACGCGGTCAGACTTTATGCTTCACATAGGTTGAATTTACTTTTACTAAAGGGGCAGAGGTGCATGTTGGACGAAGTGTTTAGGATTATTAGTAAAAGACCTATAAAGAAACATGGTAGGTTATAAAGGAATGTTTTTGGTTATTTGGAAAAGACCTATAAAGAAACATGGTAGGTTATAAAGAAATGTTTTTAGTTATTTGGAAAAGACCTATAAAGAAACATGGTAGGTAATAAAGGAATGTTTTTGGTTATTTGGAAAAGACATATAAAGAAACATGGTAGGTTATAAAGGAATGTTTTTGGTTATTTGGAAAAGGCCTAAGAAACATACTAGGTTAGACAAAATGTTTGTGGTTATCAGAAAAAGACCTAACGAAACATGATAGGTTTTGAAGAAATGTTTGTGGTTATCAGAAAAAGACCTAAAGAAACATGGTAGATTATAAAGGAATGTTTGTGGTTATTAGAAAAGACCTAAAAAAACATGGTGGTTATTAAGTAATTGTTGTGGTTATTTGGAAAAGACTTAAAAAACATGGTTATAAAGAAATGTTTTTGGTTATGTGGGAAGACCTAAAAGTATGGAGGAGTTTGCTGGCTTATTAGAAAAGACCTGTAAATCATGTCAAGTCATGAGTCATTTGGCATACTGGCCCGGTTTGCCTTACATAGTCTGCAATTGTACTGAACAACTTGGGGTTATTAAAAAGATCTTAGAAACATGGTTGTTAAATAAGGAGAAGTTTTGGGTTTTTTGTAAAAAAAAACCTAAAGAAAAATGTTAATATTGTTAACATAGTAAATATAAAAAAAATTTAGGTATTAACAATCATTATAGATAATGAATGGATTTCAAAATTTAAAGAAATTCTTTCCTTATTATTTCTATTTTTTATAAGTTGGAAATCCGCAATTATGCAGAAATAAATCCGCAACATTTTTTGCTGTGCTTTTGACTTATAGATATGTGAAAGAGAAAAGCAAAGTAGATAAATATCTTAACTGTTTTTAAAATTATTTTTGTTTAAACATTTTTTTCTTGTTTCAGATGTGATTCCGCCGAGAATGCTCCTGATCAAGATTCTAATTATGCCCTAGAAACTTATGGAACTGAGTCAAGATGCTTTGCTCAGGTATCTAAGGACAAATTGACAAATTTTGGTCAAAAGCTGAGAAATATAGCTAGGCTCACTGTTATAAGTGTTAAATCCAGTACAGTTCTAGAACCGACAAAATAGATTATCAAGTACAATAACAGAGAAATGGACCAATTATACATGAAGACACAAGTGTCAAATATAACAAAAAAACGAAATTTTCTCACATTATTTGACATGTTTTCCAAGATTAAATAAAAAAGTGTAAAAACAGAAAATAAATAAGAAACAAAATTGCACCTTTTTCACTGTAAGATAAACTCTTTATTCTAAAATTATCACTATTATTAATAATTTTGTCGGACACAATACTGAGTTGACACTTGTGATGTAAGAAAACAGCTGTACTGAGGGTGTACAAATACTACGTTGCCATCTATTGTACTTAACAATCTATTTGAGCCGACATCTAACCAGCTAGAGCGAGCTGTATACAGTACACATTCAGATTATTCCAACTGGGACAGGACATCAAATGAACAAACCTATTCTTAGGAAACTCTAGTGAGCTGAAAATATCTTTAACTAACAATTCTGAACTCGGAGGTTTGACTTGTTTTATTTTGATAAAATGTACTTCATCCACTGAGATTGGTCACAGAAAGAGTTAAGGTTATCGAAAAATTTACAACAGGTTTAAGAAGGAGCTGATTTATTTTGTGTACCGTACTGTTTGGCCGTCTATAGAATGCATACTGTGCTACTGCTACTTGCTCTTGCTGCCTAAAAGTCGGCCCGGTTTTATAATGTTTTAATGCAAGAATTTGTCTACTGTGATAATGCATTATCATTTTACGGGCCAATTAAAAATACTTTGTGTATTTACATTCGGAGCACAAGGAGCTGGGATTTTTATATAATAATAAAACGCCCTTTTTTAGACTTCGCCTTGGGAGCAAAAATCCTGCACTATGATAAAACAATGGACCAGGTAAATCGTGAACTATGATTAAACAATGGACCAGGTAGACTTTCCAAACCAATTAAACAGAATTAATCATCTTTGGGTTATTTCATGATGTTAAACTCAATTAAATTATAACAACTTAAAAAAAAAAAACTTTTTGGTTTCTTTATTTTCATGTCAAGAATATTTATCCAATTGATATGAATCAATAAAAGTGCAATGGCAACGAATTAAAGCAGAATAATTCCTTCTTCTTCTTTCTTCAAATACAAGAAAAGGAGTTTGTAATCTGTAACTGTTTTATATCTCTGGATTATGAATTAGGTTAAGTACAGCCTACGTTCATGAAGACCCACAAAACATTAGACTTCAGAGACGACTGTACGGAATTTAATGAGGCTCCCATGGATTTGAAGACAATTCTTTCTTCCATTACCAGAACATTTAGTTAACCATGAAATGACTAAATTGAAGACAGAACCCCAAATCTAACATTTAGATCCTTTTAGTCTCTTTTAGTAGTTTAACAGGTGCAAGTGGTACAACTAATTCTGTTAATCTACTGCTCTAAACTTGAACAAGCAGTTCAACAGGTGCAGTTGGTACAACTAATTTTGTTGAGCTACTGCTCTGAACTTGAACAAGTAGTTCAACAGGTGCAGTTGGTACAACTAATTTTGTTGAGCTATAACTGCTCTAAACTTGAACAACCAGTTCAACAGGTGCAGTTGGTACAACTAATTTTGTTGAGCTACTGCTCTAAACTTGAACAACCAGTTCAACAGGTGCAGTTGGTACAACTAATTCTGTTGAGCTACTGCTCTAAACTTGAACACAGTTGGTACAACTAATTTTGTTGAGCTACTGCTCTAAACTTGAACAACCAGTTCATCAGGTGCAGTTGGTACAACTAATTTTGTTGAGCTACTGTTTTAATCTTGAACAACCAGTTCAACAGGTACAGTTGGTACAACTAATTTTGTTGAGCTTCAACTGCTCTAAACTTGAACAACCAGTTCAACAGGTGCAGTTGGTACAACTAGTTTGTTGAGCTATAACTGCTCTAAACTTGAACAAGCAGTTCAACAGGTGCAGTTGGTAAAAATAATTCTGTTGAACTACTGCTCTAAACTTGAACAACCAGTTCAACAGGTGCAGTTGGTACAACTAATTCTGTTGAGCTATAACTGCTCTAAACTTGAACAAGCAGTTCAACAGGTGCAGTTGGTAAAAATAATTCTGTTGAACTACTGCTCTAAACTTGAACAACCAGTTCAACAGGTGCAGTTGGTACAACTAATTCTGTTGAGCTACTGCTCTAAACTTGAACAAGCAGTTCAACAGGTGCAGTTGGTACAACTAATTTTGTTGAGCTACTGCTCTAAACTTGAACAACCAGTTCAACAGGTGCAGTTGGTACAACTAATTCTGTTGAACTACTGGACTGCTCTTAACTTGAACAAGCAGTTCAACAGGTGCAGTTGGTACAACTAATTCTGTTGAACTACTGCTCTAAACTTGAACAAGCAGTTAGGGATGTTAACGTTTTCATTTTTCAGAAAAACGATCGTTTCGTTATGAAAACGACGACGAAAAATCGAAAACGAAACGATTGTTTTTAAAAACGATCGTTTTTTTTAAAAAGTTCGTTTTTTTAAAAATGGTCGTTTTTAAAACGATCGTTTCGTTAACGATCGTTAACGACGACCCTTCGTTAACGATCGTTAACGACGACCCTTCGTTAACGATCGCTAACGACGACCCCTTCGTTAACGATCGTTAACGAAGAGAGGAAACCGACCTGAAGGGCATCTGTACTATCATTGAGTAGTTTATGAGAAAATATCAAGGAGTTTAAACTCCCCCACAACTGTTAAACTTCATGTAAGACGACATTCAATAAAGTTGCATGTAATTTTTTTTTCCAAAAACGATCGTTTTGATAAATTTCGTCGTTTCGTTAACGATCGTTTATAAAAACGATTAACAACCCTAGGTGCAGTTGGTGCAACTAATTCTGTTGAGCTACTGCTCTAAACTTGAACAAGCAGTCTTTCAGCGGCTTTTTTCAGTCATAACTCCTCGCACTGAAGTGTTATGGAAAAGAAGCAAAATTGTTTAAAAATTCTAAAATATAACAGAATAAATGTTGTATTCCCAGCTGCGTATGCGTAAAATCAAAACTAGAGAGGATACGTGGTCTTAAAGTCCTACCACTAATGTCACATAAAGGAATTGAGTCCCTATATTTTTTCCACCTGATGGTTTAAACCTTTGATATTTCAAACTATGATTCTTTCACCTAACAGAATTTGTAGTTTGAAATATCTAAGGTCTACGGCATTGGGTTGCAAAGATATAGAGATTAGAAAATCATAGTTTGTGACAAAGACTCAATTCCTTTGACCTTCTCCTGCTCTCTGGTTCACAGTGTACTGTATAATGTATATCTTGTGTACTGTATATCCTGTGTACTATATATCCTGTGTACTATATATCCTGTGTACTTATTATAGGTACGGATCAGGTTGTTACAAGTACAGTTGTGCAGATGGAAGATTAAATATCCTTGTAAGGGATAAATCCTTCCCGTGCTATGAGGAAGGTCAAAAGGTAAACATCTAAATATTCTCATTATCAAGTTCTTGCCCTTAAAGCTTTGGCGAATCAAGAATGAGTTATGCATCTATGATTTATTTTTAAAAGTTTGGTTATTTTCGAATTAGGGTTTCTTGTTGCAGAAACAATGGAGAGAATTGTAAAGCATTAACACTTTTTAATTAAGAAAAACGATAATATCTCCAATAAACTTGATCAGATAAAGGTTTAAAGGGTACAGTTAAAGATCGGAAATGGCCTTTTTCAATGTTGGGTTCCTTTAACAAGATGGCACCTTTTCTTCAGGTTCATCTCCAGCTGTTAAAAACATCAGCTGATGGAGACTGGATTCATGATGGAAAACTGGTTTGCCCAGCTTGCTCACAGCTCTGCTCAGACTGCTCGGCAGAAGGAAGAGAACTAAAGGTGATTTAAGAACATGGATTAAAGCACATGGATTATAGAACATGGATTAAAGAACAAGTATTAAAGAACATGGGTTAAAGAACATGGATTAAAGAACATGGATTAAAGAACAAGTATTAAAGAACATGGGTTAAAGAACATGGATTAAATAACATGGATTGAAGAATGGTACTTCAAATGAATTCTTTTACAGTGCAATGTGTATTTGGGTCCCTGGTTCTTTGATTTGAATATGATTAGAATTACAAATTAAAAAGACAACTAATTTAAATGATTGAAGTGATTCTGATTTATTTTTTAGAGTCATGAGAATTTGAAAGAAGATCTTGGTGACTGCATTCTTAAGGATTGTATTTTTTCAAAAAATTTCGTTTTTTAAACAATTTCTAACATTAAAATATTTATTTATATACCCCCCCCCCCCTGAGATCAATTTAAAGTTTAAGCATAAAAAATAATTGAAATTCTACATTTTCGCTAGGCTGTTGAGAAAGAACCATCAAATGAACTTGTAGGATTTTTTAAACAATTTGGTTTATTTGGCTAAACCATTCAGAACCAATCAGAACCAACCAGAACCAACGAGAATAAAGAAGAATAAGATTTAGACCAGCATTTATTTTATTCTTTAATCAGATGAAAATCTAGTATGTAAATAAATATTCAAATACAGATTTAGGGTCTTCAAGTTAGAGTTTATCAAGCACAGGGTGTCCCACATAACATGACAGTTGGTGAATAGTGTACAATGTCTTCTTCCATATTTTGTTAAGTTATTTGATACCAAAGAGAATGATAAACAATATCATATAGCAGTCATATTATAGAAAAAATAATTTGAAAGTAAAATATATTTCAGGAAAAGATTTTTTTAACGAATTAAACTGCGAACAGTCTTTAATATCTGATACAATGTATGGAAGAAGACATTCAAAACTATTTACCAACTGACATGCTACGTGGGACACCCTGTATGTTTATAACAGATTAAATTATGATGAACAAACAGGGATACTCAAAAAGGATGAGAATCAATAATAACCTGAAAATTGTCAATATAATTATATGAAGGTTAAATATGGTTTTTTCAGTCCTCTGAAGGTCTCAACAATGATTTGAAAAAATAATTAGAAAATGTAAAGATGAAGGGAACAATGCCTATAACACAAAAAGATTGAATGAATTCCATAGTCCTATGTCTCGTCCTGTTCGGGTAGCCCTGTACATTCTGCAGATTGTACGGAATGTACAATGTACATTCTGCAGATCGTACGGAATGTACAGTGTACATTCTGCAGATTGTACGGAATGTACAGTCTGCCCCTTATAAAGACAACATCTAAGAAATCTTGTATTTAATGTGATGAACAAACCAATAGTTTAACCAACAGCTTGACAATAAACTTATCAAGCAAGTAAAATGGGTCTGTGTGCAGTGTACACTGTATCTCTGTATCTCTGTATCTCTTAATATCTGTTTATCTGTAACTCTGTATCTCTGTAACTCTGTTTCTCTGTATCTCTGTATCTCTGTATCTCTGTATCTCTGAATATCTGTTTATCTGTAACTCTGTATCTCTGTAACTCTGTATCTCTGTATCTCTGTATCTCTGTATATCCGTATCCCTGTATCTCTGTATCTCTGTATATATGTATCTCTGTATCTCTGTATCTCTGTATCTCTGAATATCTGTTAATCTGTAACTCTGTATCTCTGTATATCAGTATATCTGTAACTCTGTATCTCTGTATATCCGTATCCCTGTATCTCTGTATCTCTGTATATATGTATCTCTGTATCCCTGTATCTCTGTATCCCTGTATCTCTGTTCTCTGTTCTCTGTATCTCTGTATCTCTGTATCTCTGTATTTCTATATTTCTGTGTCTCTGTATTTCAGTATATCTTTATCTCTGTATCTCTGTGTCTCTGAATCTCTGTATCTCTGTATCTCTGTATCTCTGTATCTCTGTATCTCTGTATCTCTGTATCTATGTATCTCTGTATCTCTCTATCCCTGTATCCCTGTATCTCTGTATCTCCGTATCCCTGTATCTCTGTATCTCTGTATCTCTGTATATCTGTATATCTGTATCCCTATATATCTGCATCCCTGTGTCTCTGTATCTCTGTATCCCTGTATCTCTTTATCTCTGTATCCCTGTAACTCTGTATCTCTGTATCTCTGTATCTCTAGTGTCTATGTACCTCTAGTATCTCTGTATATCTGAATCTCTCAATCTCTGTATATCTCTGTACTAGGGTTTCCAACATAATAGATTATTCTCTTACGCGTAATTACGTGCAGTTACGCGTAATAATTTTCATTTCGTGTAATTTCGCAGGATTACGCGTAATTGGGGAAATATCCATTTCGCGAAATTACGGCGTAATTTCGCGTAATTCCTACAACGTAATTTCGCGAAATTTCGTAATGATTATGCGTAATAATGAAAACTATAATTACGCGTAATTACGGCGTAATTTCGTGTAATTTCTACGACGTAATTTCGCAAAATTTCGTAATAATTACGCAGGAGGGGGGGGGGTGTTAAAGGCTAAAAAATCGAAATTTGTTTTTCAACATTTCTTTTTAATTTCTTTTCAAAAATTTTTTCTTTAATTTTTTCCACGGGCAACGCCGGGCCCTTCAGCTTGTAATTTATAAAGAGACAAGTTAAGATGTAATTATGAATTAGTTTCGATATCCTCAATTTTTTCTAATTGTTGATAAACTTTATGAATTTTAACAGAAATTTTTGATTTCTCAACAGAATAACTAAGATTTTAAAAATCAATTCAGGTTTTGTTCCATAAAGAATGAGATTTGGGCGCGCAAAAGTAAATTACGTCTTGGAAATCTCAATCTTGCATTTTTATTTTCATCTTCACTTAAAATATTCAAGATCAAGCTTGCATTTCGGCTTATTCATAATCTTGTTTAATTCTTTATATATGGAAGGGGAGGGGGAGGAGGGGGGTTTAAGAAGGAGGTCAACCCACGTTACCCACCCGAGACTTCATATTTTTATTGTCAACAATAAGGCTTAAAAATGACTTGCTCTGTTATGTTTGTTCAAATATGAAACCTTAATTTTTTTCATTTGGTTCAATTCGGTTTTTTTTAAATAAAAACATGAGAATTTTCTAATTTTTAATTATTCGCACGTTTTTTGTGATAGTTTTATAACAGTCTTGTATTATCTATTATCTATATACGTTTTCCCAGTAAGCTTTTATCTATAATTAGATTTTTTTTCCAAAAATTCTAACAAAAGTTATTTCTCATATCAGGGTTAATGTTTAATAAATAATTTCTGAATAAAATTCAATCCTATTTTCTTAATGTTTAAATTGGCAATTTAAGGAAAGATATATTCTATAGAAGATTCTTAATTCAGAATTGATGTGTTTTCCATGTGCATTGACATGATTGATGTATGTGACAAAGGATTCTAAAACACGAGAAATCCATCAACACACTCTCTGAATTTTTTCTTTGTCAAAAAAAAACAGCAAAAAAGCACATATCAATAAATTCCTCTCTGTACCATTGTTCAATACTTCGCTTCTTTTATATATTTTTCTATATATATTTAAAAATATAGATATAGATATAGATGTAGATATAGGTGATATAGATATATATTTAGATAAATATATATATATTTACAATACATATAACAATAAGTTTTTAAGTATATATTGGGATTTGAATACCAAATAACCTACTTTTTATAAAGGAACCAAACGATTTTATTCCAGCAAGCTGTGCCTTCCAATGACAATTGGAACTAATTAAAAACAAATATTTCGCTGTTTTTTTAATACTTTTTTGTAGGCATGTGTGTTTTTTATGAAAAAGTATTAAAAAACAACTCGGAAAACTGTGTACTGGATTCCAGGAATCCAACAGAGGTGCCACCAAGGTTTTGATGTAAGGAAAGTTAATTGCAGTTCCGTATACTCTGCGTACATATTGAAACCAGTTCTCTCTAGGCGGAGTTTGTAAACAAGAATAAACGCATTAGTGCCCGTTTAGTATCCGAGGAGGTTAAAAGCATTAAATTTTGATACTTTTGATAATTCACACAATAGTTTCCTATAGACCAGTATATTTCATTGATTTTTTATGTGAAAGATGGATCCACTTTCAGGCTTCGACATCCGTCTTGTGTTTACAGTTCATATTAATATTTTATTCAACTACAAAGCACGAGATAATACAAATAAAAAAATCACAATTTACTATGTAGTTTGGACCCGCCTAACCAGAGTAGGTTGTTTTAATTGGTTGGCCCACTATAAACGAATGAGAATTGCAGATAAAAACAATGTACATTGTACATTTTAAACATAAGAATGATGATAAATCAGGAAAATGGTAAGGAGGAGGTGAGTGAGTATAAGGGAAAGGGAGGATACTCAGCGTAAGGGTTGGAACAAAGGGTAACTAACATAAGTTATCAAAATAATGTTTATGAAATACAGGGTGATGAAGATAGTAAAGACTAAGTTTATCCACATGATACACAGTTTTTTTACAGATATAGTTTGCATAACTATCTAGATAGATCTTGGCGACTTTTCTTTTAAACGATTTAGCAGATTTAGTTTCTTTCAGCTCTAATTCAATCGAATTCCATATTTTTGGAAATAACGCAGAGGGAAAACATTCTAGAGTTTTAAAGAGAACCCGTTCAAGTTTATATGATTTTGTTCTATTTGGTTCATTACCGCCCAGAGACAGTACACTGCAGTACAAAAGATGCGTACACGAAATAACTTTCCTTCCATTATAACCTTGAGTGCCACAAAGATGATAATAAATGGTTGAGGTTCCAGGACGATGTTTACTCAAAAGTAACTGCCAAACTCTTGATGGTTTGTATTAACATAGATGATCCATCGAAGAGATATAATAATAGCATGGATTAATTAATTTAAAGATCTGACAGCCGAGTCTGTGTTTAAGAATTTTTACACTATGATAAAAATATGAAGAATTTATATAAGAATAGGAAAATAAATAATATTGAAAGAAAGTATTTTCTTTTATGTTTCTTATTAATCTAAGCAAATTCAAGTCTTGAAGGGAGGAGTATTGGTTTAATATATCGGACAATCCTTGTAAAATATTATTGGTTCAATGTATCGGACAATCCGGGTAAAATATTATTGGATCATTATATCGGACAATATCGGACAATTCTTGTATACTATTATTGGTTCAATATATCTGTCCATCCTTTTATACTATTCTTGATTCAATGTATATCTGACAATCCTTGTATACTCTCCTTGGACCATAGTATCTGTCAATCCTTGTATACTAATTCTTAGTTCAATATATCAATATATCAATAAATCTATATATCAAAATACAAATGCATATGTCTTTAAAATAGTTTTTTGCGATGGAATAGGACTATAGAGGGGGTCAGTTGGATCAGAGAGGGGATTGTCTGAAGCAAGAATTTATTCCAATGAAAATGTAATATCACAAGAATCACAATCTGAATTAATTTTCAATTGCAAAATTAAAAGATTTAATGTTGAAAATTGTCTTTTATTTTCAAAATATTCTTATCACTCCTCTTCATAGGAAATTTTTGAAAACATTTAATAAATCAGATCAAATTAATTCATTGTTAAAAAAAAACATGATTACACAAAACAGCAACAAATGAATTCTCTTCTTTTATATACACTAGCTTAGGAACCCGGCGCTGCCTATGTTACTAAAAGATATTCCGCCGTTTACCCGCACGAATGATTTTACCGGAAAACTAAGTTTTCGCTATTTAGGTCGACCTACTAAACACTTAGAATCTTAAAACCAAGCGAAGTACATTCCCGTGGGTCGCCCGAGTTCCCCAATCAAAACTTGAGGCTAATCGGTTCAGGGGTTCCTGAGTTATGATCGGACTAACAAATAGACAGACAAACGGAGATTACAACTATATACGTAAAGCTACTTGCTTGGAAACCCAGCGCTGCCCAGGTTACTCATAGTTACTTCCGTTGTTTCCCGCGGTTCTCCCGAGTTACACAAATCTATCAAGTGGTTCCTGAGTTATGATCGGATATACAAACAAACAAACCGAGATTACTTCTTTATTTGTATAGATAACTTGCTGAAGGACCCGGCATCCTGAAGCAGCTAAAGTAAAATAATTTAAAGCCCCCACTCATTGCCCACCGTTTGAAATTTTTAATGAACTATTAAAACAGTAACTTTGGTGTGTTACCGAAACATAAACAAATAAAACACCTAAAGACCTGAGAACTAAAACAGCTAAAACAAAAAATGACAGATAAACTAGCTGTTTTATTATCATTAATTTGATTAAAAATCCCAATAAAGGTGGTAAGCCGCCTAAATTGAGGAATTGTAATCTTAAAATTAAACCTCCCGCCAACCTGGCATTAGAGAGCCTCCCCACCCTTGTGATTTTTAGTGCTTTAAATCTCAACATCACCCTTAATAATAACACAGAGTATCCCACCATGAATAAGCCCCACCTACCACCCACTCCAACGAGTCTTAATGCTCACATGCCGTTAGCAACTGAAGATAAAAACATTAACATAAATAAAGACCCGACTTGAGATAAGCCCCCTAAAATGAAAAAAAGCCCCCCCAGTAAAGCTAAAGTAAAAACAAAGGGGTTAAACTTTAAAAAACTAAGAATAGTTAACGGAATAATTTTTTGCACGGTAAAAATTAATCACATTCTTATCCACTCTATTCTGGGCAGTATTCTAGTAAGCCAGCTTTGTATTGGTGGAAGGCCAAGCTTAAAAAAAATTGATAGGGCTATAAATCTTNCAAACTACGTCAACAAAGTGTCAATACCAAGCAGCAGCCTCAAATCCAAAATGGTGCGCAGCACTAAACTCACCTTTTAGGTGCCGAACTCAACAAACTAATAAAAACAAAGTCCCAACAATGACATGTAGCCCATGGAACCCTGTGGCAATAAAAAAAGTAGAGCCGTAGATACTATCGGCAAACCTGAATGAAGCCTCATAATATTCTAACCCCTGCAAAGCAGTAAAATACAGCCCTAAAACGATTGTTAACCCTAAAGACTTTTTTACTTGGCCGTACTCCCCCGCTATGAGGGCGTGGTGGGCTCAGGTTACGCTAACGCCTGAAGAAACTAAAATAATAGTATTCAGTAGGGGAACCCCAAATGGATTGAAGGGGACTACGCCTAAAGGTGGTCAAAGCCCCCCCAACTCAACGCTGGGAGCTAGTCTCGCATGAAAGTAAGCCCAAAAAAATCTTAAAAAGAAAAATACCTCAGAAGTAATAAAAAGCAACATACCCCAACGCAGCCCTAATTCGACGATTGCGCTATGAAGCCCCTGAACCGCACCTTCTCGTCTCACATCACGCCACCATTGGAATATTACCATCCCTAACAAAAGCAGCCCAATAAAAAATAAAAATATTGAATTAAGATGGAATCATGAAATTATCCCACTAGTTAAATATAAACCCCCCAATGAACCGTAAAGCGGCCAAGGGGATTCGTCAACAATGTGGTAGGGGTGCTGAATATGGTTTGACATATTTTAGGAAAGCAAAGCTTATCTTCAATCCCCAAAATTGATATTTTTTAAACTACCCCAAATTAAATTAAAGGCTTTTTCTAAAACCTTTACTATGCTACGACTTATCTTATTACTAAGAGCGACGGACGATATGTGCACACTTTAAAACCTTTCCACGTAAATTTAAATGGTTTTATTACTAGCAAATCCTTAAAAAAAATTTTTGAATTTTTTGGCCTAAAACACCCCCGGCAACCCATGAGTGTCCATCAAAAAATTCAGCCCATTCGGTCAAGCCGTTTGGCCGGCTATAGGCAACATATATTTATATGAATGTCTTGTATAATGATATGAAAGTTTTTACTTAGTATCTTTCTTGATTTCAACTTTCCTTTCCTTTAATAAGATTCACAACAACACCCTTCATTTGGTTCAACAAAATTTAATAAAGAATAGGTTTTTTTTTTTTGGGGGGGGGGGCACTGCACTGGTGATTTCTAGTGTACGCGGTGTACTGTATTCAAGTACATGTTGTTGTACATAGAGTACATAGAGTTTTTCAGATTCCAATGAAAGATTGCAAAAAGAACATTGTGTCCTTTATAACTGGGAAGAAGGACGGACGCAAAATTAATTCCAAAGTTGCAGAAATAAAAGAAGAAGAAAAGGTGAGTAAAAAAATTACAAAATTGGTTAAACAAAATCAAAAAGAAAATGCCCTGTAAGGAATATCCAGACCTGATAATTAATTAATATAAATATTAGAAATTTCAATTTACAAAAATATATCTTTGGTTTAACCTCGACCTCCCTCACTCTCCCCTCCCTCCTTTCGTCTTAGGATTAAATAGAAATAAAATATTTAAAAACTATAAATTTTTAATTAAAAATAAAAATAAAAATCAACTAATTATTTTAGGAGAAGAAAGATGAACCCTGTGGTAGGTTCAACATGAAGAGATTGTTCTCTCCGAAACTAAAACAAAGTGAGTAAAAATAAACAACTTTTTTTTCTTCAGATTCTGATTAAATTAGTCTCGTTGTCCTTGTACTTTTAAAAAAGAATATCGATAGAATTAAAGCACTTTGAAATTACGAACATCTATCTTTATACTTTGTTTCTCTCCGTCTGTCTTTTTGTTTGTATCCAATAAACGTCAAAAGGGCTGAACCGATCAGGCCCAAATTTTATGTGGGACCTCACATGACCCCAGGTAAGGTTTATGGATGGTCATAATTAAAAAAGTTTTCTCCAAAACCTCTTGATTTTTTTTTTAAATTTAGAAAATCGAAAAAATATTTGAAAATCCGTGAACTTTTTTTGCTAATGTTTTATGCTGAACAAAGAAAAGATGTTCAGAGATAGAGCCTAAATTAAAAGTTAAAATAGAGGTTGTGCGAAAAGCGCCCAAAAAAGCCAAGTATGAGAATATTTTTTGATATTTTATTTTAAAATTTGAAAGAATTCTCTCAAAGACTTTTTTATCAATGTTTTAAATTTAAAATAATGCTTCTCTTTTATTAGAATTAAATATCTTTTGGGAATCGATTTTTATTATATAAGACCTCCAAAATATTGGTTTCCATTTTTCTCGCAAATTTAATTCTTAGAATTATTTTTTTACATTTTAATTTAAAAATGTTTAGCATTTATTTTTCACGAACCGGTCCACACTCACATTCAATAATAATTAGAATTCATTTAACATACTTACGTTTCTTTTATATTAGAATATGTATTTTGTACATTCTGTGTGAACTTATAGGGGTGTACACACAGAGCGTTTTTGTTCTTTATTTGTGTGAAAATTATATGAACTATACATTTACATTTACAGACGATTACGAAATTGTCTTTTTTAAGTTATGTTATACTAGCTGAAAGGATCGGCGTTGCCCGTGAAAAAAAAATTTGAAGAAAAAATATTTGGAAGAAAGAAAAAAATTTGAAACCAAAAACGATTTTTATAGCCTATAACATCCCCGCCCCCCTGGCCACCCACGAATGTCTTGTTTTATTGTATATATTACCTTAATCAAAAATTTAAGTTATCTCAAATTTATCAAAGCACAGCGTTATAACTTTATTCTAATTGCGTTTAATTTTGCCTTTATCAAACTATCTAAATTAAAAGAAAATCATCCATTTAAAGTTTACAAAACCAATGAGGCCTAATATTCATTAGTCATCACATTCTATCTTAAGAAATTTTTCCAAGCTCAGCTTTTCTTTTCAAACGCAGTTCTCCCTAGGAAAACTCAGGGATATATAAAATAGGGAAATCAAGCTTGCAATTTTCTGGCAACATGGAATACCAGCCATGTTTAGCGTTATATCCGCTGCATTTCAGCTAGGGCTTTCCTTTAAAGCAGGAAAATCATTTCGCGAAATTTTAGCATTTATTCGCATTTCGTTCGCTCGCGAAAAATGCGAAAATTTTCGCTTCTTTCACGAAATTTCGCTTCTATCTGTTTCGCGAAAAAAATTATAGAAATAATGCTAAATTTTTGCGAAAATTTATCAAAAAAAAGACAACATTTTGAGAATACAAGACGCATATTCCGCGGAAATATGTCGCTTTGTTTACGCATTTTTGCTCAATTTTCATTTTCGGGAAAAAATGCGAAATTTCGCGAAAACGTTTGCGAAATACGAAAAAAAGAAATGTCGTATATTAAAAATTAAATAATAAATAAATATTTTTTCTTGAAAGGGAATGTGGAATTTTAAGTGAATGTCCGGTTTAAACTTTTATCTGATCAGTGATCATTGATCAGTGATCATTGATCAGTGATCATTGATCAGTGATCATTGATCAGTGATCATTGATCAGTGATCATTGATCAGTGATCATTGATCATTAATCATTGATCAGTGATCATTGATGTGGGAGATGTCGTCGGTTTTTAGTCTGAAAAGTGTTCATTGTTTTTCAACAAGTTAGCCGCAAGTTACTTTATCTAGAAACCGCAATAACAAGTTTGTAGAAAGGATAAATAGATAAATAGCTTTATGACTATTGCCACTATGAACTGGACAGAAAAAGAAATTAAATTTCATGTAATACTACTAGTACGACTTTGTGACCTCGTAGTTCCTCTAATTATTGAAATTTTACACACAAGTACGAGATAGTATCTGGTTACATACAAGTACAAGATAGTATCTGGTTACATATCAGTATGAGATAGTATCTGGTTACATACAAGTACAAGATAGTATCTGGTTACATACAAGTACAAGATAGTATCTGGTTAAATACAAGTACGAGATAGTATCTGGTTACATACAAGTACGAGGAAGTATCTGGTTACATACAAGTACAAGATAGTATCTGGTTACATATAAGTACAAGATAGTATCTGGTTACATATAAGTACAAGATAGTATCTGGTTACATACAAGTACGAGATAGTATCTGGTTACATATAAGTACGAGATAGTATCTGGTTACATATAAGTACGAGATAGTATCTGGTTACATACAAGTATGAGATAGTATCTGGTTACATACAAGTACGAGATAGTATCTGGTTACATACAAGTACGAGATAGTATCTGGTTACATACAAGTACGAGATAGTATCTGGTTACATATAAGTAATTCAAAACATTGTTTATCTTCTCAATAAGCGGAGTTTTGATTTAAACACATTTATAATTTCGACATTACTTGCAATTTGATTTACTTTAACGGTTATCTCAAACAACGGGTTAAGGGTACCGTTGTGTATCAAACATACCACTCTTTACATCCTTTAATTATTTTAAGATGAAACAAAAATAGCACTCTAGGATAAAGATAAGAGTCATTATTACATTATTCCTTATAAAATAAAACTCTTTCCTCGTATATATAATATTTGTATGTTAGCTTTAACTGGTTAAACAGCTGAATCAATTTTTTTTATATTCCACGGACAACGCCGGACACTTCAGCTGGTTTCTAATAAATTTTGACAACATTTTCAAATATGTAGAGAATTTGTTTAGTCTGGTTAATCCAACACGTTATATTGATATTATTATTATCCATCGATCGTGATAAATAAAGAATGTTCAAATAGTTCTAATAAATATGATTACGTAAAAAAAATGATCAATGTATAACAAATTGTAATTTTAGTAATATAATCATCAAATATATGAGGACTGTCTATATAAAAGTTTGTGTTATCTTTGACAGTCTGATATTTCCAATTATAAGATGATATCTCCAACTTTAAGATATAGCTGAAAATAAGAAAAAGAAAAATGTAATGTGATATTCTACTGTGATATGGATTAGTAAGATGACTGCAGGGCTTTAGTTATGACTTTAAATAATGCAATAAAAAAGTTTAAATGTATTTGTGCAGTGTACACAGACCTATTTCACTTAATAAGTTGATTATTAACAAACTTGTAAAACTATTTGCTTTACAGCAGCTTCAATATACCCATAAAGTTACTGAAATGTCGTCTTACAGTGATAACCAAAAAACTCCGAAATAGGAAGACGACTATTTAGCAATATTTCAGTGTATTTGTTGTCGTTTCAAAGCAAATAGTTTTACTAGACACTTTTAAAATCACTAATTAAGTGAAATGGGTCTGTTTACATTGTACAATCGTCGTGTCCCATGCTGATTGTTTAGGCCAGGGAGTATGGAATAGAAGGGAGATATAACTGACGCGGTTCGCCCTACCATATAATTATGCGTGCTTTGCAGACGGTACTCCATTTGTATAAGAAATATTTAGAATAGGTTATTGCATACGCGGTAATTGTACATCAGACAAATATTTCTTATTCAAATGAAGTACCGTCTGCAAAGCATGTATAATCATATGGTAGGGTGGGCCGCGTCAGTTATATCTCCCTTCTATTCCTTACTCCTTGGTTTAGGCGGACGGTGTGCGAGTACAAAATACAATATTATAATTTTATTTTCTTGGGTCTCCCTGTATTTAGATCACTGCTTGTGTAATTGATTGATTGATTGATTGATTACTCTGATCCTGGCATTTCGGGGGAAATTGGAATTTTCTGTCAATTTATCATGAAGGGGAAATGTTCAAAGATGTTTTTTGTATTTATTCTTTACATTTCAGTAACCAAAATCAGATCTATAGAACTTTACAATTGTTATACAGGGATATACCTCATTTATTCTTTACATTTCAGTAAATCAGGTCTATAGAACTTTACAATTGTTATACAGGGATATACCCTCATTTAGTCTTTACATTTCAGTAAATCAGATCTATAGAACTTTACAATTGTTACACAGGGATATACCCTCATTTATTCTTTACATTTCAGTAAATCAGGTCTATAGAACTTTACAATTGTTATACAGGGATATACCCTCATTTATTCTTTACAATTCAGTAAACAAAATCAGGTTTATAGAACTTTACAATTGTTATACAGGGTTATACCCTCATTTATTCTTTACATTTCAGTAACCAAAATCAGGTCTATAAAACTTTACAATTGTTATACAGGGTTATACCCTCATTTATTCTTTACATTTCAGTAAATCAGGTCTATAGAACTTTACAATTGTTATACAGGGATATACCCTCATTTATTCTTTACATTTCAGTAATCAAAATCAGATCTACAGAACTTTACAATTGTTATACAGGGTTATACCCTCATTTATTCTTTACATTTCAGTAAATCAGATCTATAGAACATTACAATTGTTATACAAGGTTACCCTCATTTATTCTTTACATTTCAGTAAATCAGATCTATAGAACTTTACAATTGTTATACAGGGATATATATACCCTCTAAGGATAAGTCTGAAGAGAAAAAAACTGTACAGAATAGACGACTGTACAGAAAAAAACGACTGTACAGAATAGAAGACTGTACAGAATAGACTACGGTGTACAAAATAGACGCTCGTACGGAATAGAAGACTGCACTGAATAGAAGACTGAGCAGAATAGACGACTGTACAAAATAGCCGACTGTACTGAATAGAAGACTGAGCAGAATAGACGACTGTACAAAATAGAAGACTGCACAGAATAGAAGACTGTACAGGATAGACGACTGTACAGAATAGAAGAATGTACAGAATAGAAGACTGCACAGAATAGAAGACTATACAGGATAGACGACTGTACAGAATAGAAGAATGTACAGAATAGAAGACTGCACAGAATAGAAGACTATACAGGATAGACGACTGTACAGAATAGAAGACCGCACAGAATAGAAGACTGTACAGAATAGACGACTGTACAGAATATATTCAACTCTTTAAACTCAAACAAATCTAATAAATCAGAAAAAGATTTGGTTTAAGTTTAAACCCAATTTGAACCTTTAGATCAGAATACTATAGGTATTATATTTACTTCATAATTTTAAATTCATTCGTCGTGGGTAAAGCATTATATAATTAGGTTTACAACATACATTTCATTGCTGTTATTTCTGAAAGTTTGCTTTTATTTCACCTCTAAAGAAATATAATGTTTCATATTTCCAATGAGTGAGCTAGCCCCGAATTAATCTAGAATAAATGATACAAGATTGTGTAGGCTTAAATATAAACATTAATCCCGGAATTCAATAAAAGAAAAGAATAATGATGAATCATACTTTGTTTAAATTAGAAATTAGAATCAAATAAAAAAGCTATGAAAGAGATAAAATTTATTATTTCACTCAGTTTCTCAATCTTTTTTACACAATAAAATGTTCTTAGTTGTTAAAGGATAAAACATTTTAAGTAGGATTAACCCTGTCACGATTGTGAGAAGGGGGGGGGGGTCCTCTCCATAACTTTAACTCCATAACTCTCCATAACTTAAAACCCGCTTACTCAAACTTCTTCACAATTGAACTCAGGTCAAACGGATCGTACTTATAGCTCTGTTTAGTAATTAATCTATTTTTAGAAAAGTAGCTTTGTTTAATAATAAATCTATGTTTAGAAAAGAAGCTTTGTTTAATAATTAATTTATGTTTAGAAAAGTAGCTGTTTAATAATTAATCTATGTTTAGAAAAGTAGCTTTGTTTAATAATTAGTCTATGTTTAGAAAAGTAGCTTTGTTGAATAATTAATCTATGTTTAGAAAAGTAGCTTTGTTTAATAATTAATCTATGCTTAGAAAAGTAGCTGTTGAATAATTAATCTATGTTTAAAAAGTAGCTGTTTATTAATTAATCTATGTTTAGAAAAGAAGCTTTGTTGAATAATTAATCTATGTTTAGAAAAGAAGCTTTGTTTAATAATTAATCTATGTTTAGAAAAGAAGCTGTTTAATAATTAATCAATGTTTAGAAAAGAAGCTTTGTTGAATAATTAATCTATGTTTAGAAAAGTAGCTGTTGAATAATTAATCTATGTTTAGAAAAGTAGCTGTTTATTAATTAATCTATGTTTAGAAAAGAAGCTTTGTTGAATAATTAATCTATGTTTAGAAAAGTAGCTGTTGAATAATTAATCTATGTTTAGAAAAGTAACTGTTGAATAAGTAATCTATGTTTAGAAAAGTAGCTGTTTAATAATTAATCTATGTTTAGAAAAGTAGCTGTTTAATAATTAATCTATGTTTAGAAAAGTAGCATTGTTTAATAATTAATCTGTGTTTAGAAAAGTAGCTTTGTTTAATAATTAATCTATGTTTAAAAAAGTAGCTGTTTAATAATTAATCTATGTTTAAAAAAGTAGCTGTTTAATAATTAATCTATGTTTAAAAAAGAAGATGTTTAATAATTTATCTATGTTTAGAAAAGTAGCTGTTTAATAATTAATCTATGTTTAGAAAAGAAGCTTTGTTTAATAATTAATCTATGTTTAGAAAAGAAGCTTTGTTGAATAATTAATCTATGTTTAAAAAGTAGCTGTTTATCAATTAATCTATGTTTAGAAAAGTAGCTTTGTTGAATAATTAATCTATGTTTAAAAAGTAGCTGTTTATCAATTGATCTATGTTTAGAAAAGTAGCTGTTTAATAATTAATCTATGTTTAGAAAAGAAGCTTTGTTTAATAATTAATCTATGTTTAGAAAAGTAGCTGTTTAATTATTAATCAATGTTTCGAAAAGAAGCTTTGTTGAATAATTAATCTATGTTTAGAAAAGTAGCTGTTGAATAATTATTCTATGTTTAGAAAAGTAACTGTTGAATAATTAATCTATGTTTAGAAAAGTAGCTGTTTAATAATTAATCTATGTTTAGAAAAGTAGCCTTGTTTAATAATTAATCTATGTTTAGAAAAGTAGCTTTGTTTAATAATTAATTGATGTTTAGAAAAGTAGCTGTTTAATAATTAATCTATGTTTAGAAAAGTAGCTTTGTTTAATAATTAATTGATGTTTATAAAAGTAGCTGTTTAATAATTAATCTATGTTTAGAAAAGAACGGCAGGGGAAAATACCACTGGGCAGTTCTTAGAAGTGCTCTCATCTTTCTAAGGTTGCTTTTTTTGTCATTTGAATTTTTTTCCCTAAATTTTCTCTTTTCGTTTTATAACTATCTTCATACAATATCATCTCTTATTGTTCTGCTCTTTTTGCTATTTAGCTATTTTTATCTTTTTATTAAAATCCTTTATTAATATGTTTTATTATTGAGACAAACACAAACTTTTTCATTCATATTCTTTGAATGATTATTAATAAAAAAGCGCCATAAATGATTTAAAACAGGTTGTTTTCTATCAAAAAGCAAAAGCATAGAAGAAAACTTTTACATTAATTGCTCGCCGAAAATATTGGAAAACAATTTTAAAGAAACTGCGTTTTTGCCACAAATTCTGGTATTATAGCTATATCTTTGCAACCTGACCTGGTGGTGTTAACTTTAGATATTTCAAACTATCATTATTTGATCTAAAATAATTCATAGTTTGAAATATCTAAAGTCTCTGACATTGAAATGCAAAGATAAAGGGATAAGAATATCAGAGTTCGTGATAAAAACTCAATTCCTTTATAATTTTGTGTTTTCTGTTTGTTTAGTGTTTGTAAGAAAGCTCATCAAAACATGATGTTTGACGAGGAGAAAACTGAGAAAAAGGAGAAGAAAGCAAGAAAAGAAACTCCAAGATATCCAACATTCCTGGGTAATTTCAAGTTATTCAATACCCCCCATCCCCCCCCCCACCCGGACAAAGTCCAAAATTTGCCTGCATCACAAAAAAATCAATTCTATCGTGATTACTTTTTTACATTTTTTGTTTATAACATGCACCCTCCCCCCTCCCCCCTAAAATTTTTAGAAAAGCATAAAACATTAAAAATCAATTAATCCATAACATCAAAAGTCAAAATTAAGATATATCAACAAAATGCTAAGAACGAAAAAATTTTTTAAAAGTTGATTCAAAACTCTAACAAACTTAATTCATGTCCAGGGTTAAAGAAAGAATAAACTAATTATTTTGGCGAATTCCATGATTTTAAATCATTAAAAAACTGAAATCTAAGAAAGTCAAAAGAAAAAAGTTCTTGGGAAAAAACCTGAAAAAAAGCCAATAAAATATCTGGACATAAGATCACAGGACATAAAGTCCTAAAGAAAAAAGTCCTAAGTCTTGGGAAAATGACGTCTAGCCTTAGACGTTTTCACAAAAAGGACTTTTCTTCTAAGCATCTGCATATTGAATTAAGCCGAGGGCGTTTTTAATTTCAAGTCTCTGTTTTTCCATGGCTGTAAACATCCTTTTTTACCATGCATTTTCCACTATAAGAGGACTTTTTTCAGAGCACGTTTTAGTATAGAATCATACTGGCAGAAAAAAGTCCTAGAAAATAAAGTCTAAAAGCATGGTGGGCATAGAGAATAGAATATATAGAGAGGAATTAAAAGAATCTCTCGGTATGAATTTTTTCAGTCCCTTTCAGCCTGAAAGGGAGTTCAAAGTGTACAAATCATGTAAATGTTCACAAATTATATGCAGTAGAGTACATTAATACAGTATGTTCCCTAGACTATCCATTTCAATTTCCAATTTTTTAAATTGTTAAATAAACTTTATAATGAATTAGGTGAATAAAAACATCATTTGATTTATAGTTATAACGGAAAATCATCGTTTGTAAAGTGGAAGGCATAGAGTCTATGTGAAATGATCATTAGTCAATCATGAAACCAGCCTATTTCATAATTTGGTTTTCTTTTAACAATAATTTTAGATTTTCTATAAAATGATATTCCAGGGCCCAACAGGTTATATAGCATAAACATGTGAAGTACACCTGCAGTATGGAAACAGTACAACAAAAAGGCCGTTTTACACTTTTTTCTAGTAATTTCCCCTCTAATATATATTCTATTCTCTATGGTGGTGGGACTTTATTTCCGAAGATTTTTTATTTCAAGGACTTTTTTCCACAGGACCTTTTTATTACCAAAATTTAGGACTTTATTTCCGAAAAATGTTTTTTTGCGAACTTTTTTGGCAGTTACCAAAAAGTGCACGTCTTAGATTAAATATAGATAAATTTAAAAATATTTATCTACATTTATCTTTGTATTTTAAAGTTTCTAAAAAACTATTTTAGGTCAAGTGTACACTGACTACGAAAAAGAAGAAACTGATGAAACTTGGAAAACATGAATAGTATACAAGGATTTTTAATTAACAGTGAACATTGTACATGACAGTGTACAGGGTAAATTGTACATTTGTACAGTGAACATGTACAATTAACCATTCTTTTATGTTTGATTCTGTAAATCTTGACAAAAAAGCTATTATAACAAAATTGGTTTTGTTAAATCAAATTTTTTAACAAACGCGAGATCAACTGATGGATTGCAAGATATATGTGTTAAATACAAAAATATTGTCTTTTTCTAAAAAAAACATTCTGGAAAAATTAGAAAAGTGGAAGAAGTAAAATTTTGACTCAAATTTCTGATAGATTATATTCCAGGCAAAGATTCCAGGCAAATAAAAAATCAAAGAAAGATTCCAAGATTAGTCCTTTCCGAGAAACAGTATTTTTTCAAGGATACTTTAAGGGACTGTATAGTACTTTAAGGGACTGTATAGTACTTTACAGGACTGTATAGTACTTTAAGGGACTGTATAGTACTTTAAGGGACTGTATAGTACTTTAAGGGACTGTATAGTACTTTCAGAGACTGTAAGCTCGTAATTTCAACTGATTCACTATGCACAGCGGGTTATGCCAGATTTACAACGGTGCCATTAAAGCCTTTGTGTGCTCGACGAGTACAAAGATATATGTGTGTTAACGTTTCGAACCCCGCTTGCCGCGATGAGTTAAGACTGTACGCAGCGCACACTGGAATTTGCAACTGAGCGATCATAACAGCTGATTTTGAAACGTTTACACATAAAATTATTCTCTGTACTGACTCGATAAACACAAAGGTTTAAAGGCCTAAGGTTACTGTTATAAATCGGACATTGACCTCTTTGAATAGAGGTTCACTTGAAATTACGCTTACAGTCAGAGGCGTATTAAGGATTTAGTCCAGGGGGGGGGGCGCTTAAAAAGGGTTAAAAGGGTTAGCCCCACCCCTGGAACAAGTTTCTGAAAATCAAGTACCACAATGAATTATCTGAAAGAACTTCGACATTTTAATGCTTTAAACATAACTAATTACAAATTTACATATTTCACCGCGGTAAAAATATTCTCTAATAATTCAAAAAAAACCGCGCGAAAAGCTAATTGGCCGCTCCTTACCAGGGTGGGAACCATCCGAAAATCAAAGCCTACACTTTTCCAGGGGGGGAGGCTGAGCCTCCATAGCTCCCCCTGAATACGCCTCTGCTCAGTCCTTTTAACCATGTGGTGAAAAGTATTTCTAAAAGGGATTATTTTGAAACACCAATAACTTGATTATGTTTTTGCCAATGTGTAATGTGTATGATATTTTTAAATAAAGATTGTAAAAATAATTCACAAAATTGCTTTGAACGAATTCAAAAATACAGGTCAACGCTGAAGACATAGAAAAATGATGTAATTTTATTAGCTCAAGAATATATATGTATTGTATTGTAAAAATTAGACTGTAAAGAAGACTTAAAACTCTGAAATTCTGACGAACATAAGTCTGCTTCCTTGAATATGATCTTGTAATGGCCTATTATTAAATGATTTGGCAAAAAAAAAGTTTATAATTGCGGGTAATCATTTCTGCCTTAAATATGGTCTTAGAATAAAGGAAAAGGACATTATAAATTCCGCACAGTCGTCTCAGAGTCAGAAGCCTCATATTGTGTAAAAAAGTGGAGATATTCTAATACTTTTGTAGAAAAAGGGTTCTGTAAGAAAATTTGTCACCAGTTTTGACCAAGCAGTGACAGCTTAATTCATCTTTAAAGCCCCTCTAAAGTTGATTCATGTTGTGTTCTTTAAAATGTCAGCATAAAAGAAAAAAATCTGTTTTCACACTTATAATAATTTCCTTTACAAGTTAAGACATTTTGCCGGAAGGCCAACGGGTGAGGGTCGGACGACATAGGGGTAAGTGCATGCCGCAAACCCGTTTTGTGACGTCATCTGCGGACTGCGGGTCGGATGTCAAACGGGTGCGGGTCGCCTTCCTCACCTCGTTGGGCTTTAAGTAGGACAAGTGCATTGTTCTACCCGTTTTCTAATAATAATTTTAGTTTTTAGATGCCACAATTGTTTTCCCGTTCAAAGTAAACTTGCATATCTTTTTTATTTGCGAAATAACAGAGATTTTGACTTTAACTTTGACGTTAATGCAAACAAACAAATGATATAGATAAGGTTAACCCATGGCGAAGTACAGTAAACAATTATGACAATCCTTAAAAAAACGTTAAGTATTTTTTGAGAAGAGTCTGAAGCGGAAAATGTGAATGCCTGCAACTTAAAAACCATAAGCCTTAAACTTTTACATTTTTATCGGTTTCAGAAATGGATTTTAAGAATTTCAATTCTAAATCTGAGAAACTTAAAATAACTGCAAGTCGTAATTTCTAATGACTCTTCAGTAATAAAGTGTCAAGCCTGATTCACAGCAGTACCCAAATTAAAAGCTTAATCTTGATCAAGAATTATCGTTATTTTCGATTCGAAGCAAAACTTTCGCATTTTCCCTGCAAGAACAAAAAACATTGTCAAGCCAGAAAAATTAGTTAGCTTAGTTGAAAAAGAATTACTATCGACAATAATTACATTTGTAAATAATGAAAGGTTGCATTTACCTTGTTGTTTGACAGTCTAGACTATAAAATATAAATCACATGTTTCCAGTGAAACAAACTTAAAACTTGATTCAATAGAAACCTAGTTTTGCTTAAATGACAAAGATGCCTTATATTTTCCACATATTGGAGAGGAAAATATTGGAGAGGAAAATATTGCAGAGAAAAATATTGGAAAGGAAATTATTGGAGTGGAAAATATTGGAGAGGAAAATATTGGAGAGGAAAATATTGGAGAGGAAAATATTGGAGAGGAAATTATTGGAGTAGAAAATATTGGAGAGGAAAATATTGGAGAGGAAAATATTGGAGAGGAAATTATTGGAGTAGAAAATATTGGAAAATATTGGAGAGGAAAATATTGGAGAGGAAAATATACGAGAGGAAAATATGGGAGAGAAAAAACTATTATGTTTGTAGTTTTATTATTATTAAGGGCCGGAGAGTCTACTGATTCTGATCCCTATAATTTTGGAACTTATAATGGTGTACACCTTTGATATTCAAATATTTTGCTATTAGATCTAGCAGGATTGTAAGTTTGAAATTGAAAGTTCCACAACATATGGTTGCGAAGATATATAAATAAGAAAATTGGGTTTAAAGGCAAGTGTTTGGTGCCTGTGCAAAAATAGGCGTATTTTAAAAGAAAATTGGTGTTATATATATTTAGTAAAATACAGCTGGACAAAAAATTATAAATTAATCAGTTATAAATTGCCTTGACCAAAGATCCTGGTATAATTGAATTTTAAAAACTATTTTCAAATATACAGTTAAAACTCAAACAGTCCGATTTCATTCTGGAGTATTTTAAAGAAATGCTAATTTTTCATTACAAAACTTTAACAACCCCATACTTTTGTCATTAGTGTGCCAAAATGTTAAGCTCCAAAAACCGGAAATATCAAAGCATTCAGGCAGTAAGCCTGATACAATTGGTGTGAAATCCTGAGTTCATTCAGACCTAAAATGAGGAGAAAAGCTCAGACAATGTGAACAATCACAGACAAAAACCTCTTTTGAGTTATTTTAAAATCCACACAAAAATTGGGCCCAATTAGTTCAGTCATCACTCATCAGCTTACTGAATTATTGCGGATTTTTGCTCAAAAGAAAATTAAAGAAAATTTTTTAGACGATATCTTTCTTCTTGTTTCTTGTATAAATGTTCAAACTTCAGTTGTGAAGATCAAAAAATGTGAGGCTACATTTCGAAAAAGTCCTTTAAAAAACGTTTTTGGGTAACTAAAATAAAAATGAGGCTTCACTTCATACTGTCTGTTCAATTCTTTATATTCTTGATTCCATGGCAAATTGTTTCTTTCTGTGATTAAATAAGACATTAAAAGACGACATTTAAAACAGAAGCCTTACTTTTTAACGTGAGATCTTCATATTTAAAAAGTCTCTAAGAACATACCCGGGGTTTCCCCGAGTTCCCCAACTAAAATTTGAGGCAAATTGGCTCAGGGGTTCCTAAGTTATGATCGAACAGATAAACAAACAGACAGACACATAGAGTTTACAACTTTATATATATATATATATATATATAGATTACAACAAGAATTATGCAAAATGGTAGAATAACTCAATAAAGTATAATCAATTACATAAAAAGTGTTTTAGCAAGGTTATGAAAAAGACCAATTGCATAATTGTCATTCGATTTAAAATCAAACAAAAGAAAAGCATTCTTAATTTTTCGTCTAATGTCATTTAAATAAATATATTTGGATTCAGACTATAATATTTAGGAGATAAGACTTGTATAAATACTAAAATATACACTGTATATTCTACATTTATCTACTAACACTAGAGTAATAAAAATATATAAAATGAAAACTTTTATTCTCCTTGCTGCCCTGGCATCAACAATATCAGCCTCAATTCTTCCAATCAAGTAAATTTTCTAAAAGTATTAATAAAATGTTCAAAAAATATTCAAAACATATATATATTCAGAAAATATTCGGTGAATACTCATAAAATATTCGGTGAATATTCAGAAAATATTCGGAAAATATTCGGAATATATTCGGTGGATATTCAGAAAATATTCAGAAAATTTTCAGAAAATATTCGGAATATATTCGGTGGATATTCGGAAAATATTCAGAAAATATTCGGAAAATATTCAGAAAATATTCAGAAAATATTCGGAAAATATTCAGAAAATATTCGGAAAATATTCGGAAAATATTTATAAATTATTTAGAAAAGCAAAAATATTAATATTTCTGATTTCACAAATTAACAATACTGGTTACAGCGCTGAATACTACATTTCTCCTAGTTTTTTATTCCCCCCGCGTTAAACTCTAGTTTTTGATTTCTCGAGGTTTCGAGAATTCTTCAATGTTTCCTACTATGATTTCTGCTATTCAGATTAAAAAAGCTACAAAATTTAGAAAATTCGAATTTGCGGCGAGTAATAAATTCATTTCTCATAATTTTCTTTAAAAGATACCTTTATTTTAAGCATGAATTTAAAAAGAAAGTAATTTAGTTTTCATCATTTTCTGACTAAAGCTGTTTATATTCCTTGTCAACTAACTAAAGTTATCTTAATGGGAAATGCAGAAATCAACTGATTGTAGAAATCATCAGGTTGTAGAAATCATCAGGTTGTAGAAATCATTAGGTTGTAGACATCAAATAAGTGAATCAGCATGCATGAAGGAAATTTATGATCTGTTGCATTAATTTGAAAATCACATTTTTGCTTTATTTTAATTTTAGATATTATAATTTAGGTTAAACTTCAATGGAAAATATACACCAAGCTTGAAAGGAGTTTCTAACTGTGGTAAAACGTTTTTTTGAAATCCAATCAACAGTAAAGATAATGAAACATTTATGTTTTTATGTAAGTTACATGAAACTAAGTCTATTGATGTAAAAAAAAAACTTAAACCTGCAGTGGCCAGTTTACACGACGCCAAAAAAAAAACTGAAACTAAAATGAAATAACAGGAAGTGGGGTGCAAATTTGATTGTTATCACCAAAATAAGTCACAGACTAAATATTTTTTATTAGTCAAAATAAAGGAAGGGGTTAAATCCCCCCCCCCCCCTCCAGCTGTAATTGAGTGTGCAGACTGCAGATGTAATTTACATGGCCAAAACGTTTTCTATTTTCTATTTTGTAGTTTAAAAACTTGTAAAGATTGTTTGGATTAGTTTCATATTTCTTCTGTGCCCTTGTTATGCCCCTTTAAGTCCTAACTTTTTCAAGTTACAAGAAAAAATCCCGTTGTTTTGAATCTTAGGACTTTTTTTCCCTGAAATAGTGTTTGTATGAAATCATACTTGAAAAAGAAAAAAGTCCTGGATGTCCTATAATGGAAAGACTTTTCCTCAAGACTTTATCAATTTAAGACTTGAGCGAACGAAGTCTTACAAAATTAAATAAACAAAATAAGTTTTAAAATGCTAAACTCTAAATTGATGTTTAGCCGGACATGAGAATGATGTAATGACTGTAGCTCCAGGAGGAAGTATGCCCGATGAAGTTTGTATGCCTGGATCTATGCAGATGGATGTTGTTACTAAATTTACGTAAGTTAAACCTTATAACTTTGTTAAACCTTGTAGCTTAAGTTAAACCTTGTAACTTTGTTAAACCTTGTAGCTTAAGTTAAACCTTGTAACTTAAGTTAAACCTTGTATCTCAAGTTAAACCTTGTAACTTAAGTTAAACCTTATTGTTAAACCTTGTAGCTTAAGTTAAACCTTGTAACTTAAGTTAAACCTTGTATCTCAAGTTAAACCTTGTAACTTAAGTTAAACCTTATAACTTATGTTAAACCTTGTAACTTATGTTAAACCTTGTAATTTAAGGTAAACCTTGTAACTTAAGTTAAACCTTGTTAACTGAAGTTAAACCTTGTAACTAAGTTAAACCTTGTAACTTAAGTCAAACCTTGTAATTTAAGTTAAACCTTGTAACTTAAGGTAAACCTTTTAACCTTGTAACTAAGTTTAGCCTTGTAACTAAGTTAAACCTTGTAACTTAAATCAAACTAAGATTACACTAGGCAAAAGTTTTATTAAAAATGTTGTATAAATTTATAAAGTTGTCAACTTGTTTTTTAACTTTTCAATTCCATGAAAACTAATGTTATCTCTGGTTTAATCTCGAGCTGAAGAGCTAAACCTAAATTAAAATCTGTTTTCTAGGATATCTAGAGAACACTTTTTTAAACCAAACATTAATCCAGAAGCTTAAACTCAAAAATAAATTTTACCGAAACTTAAAAAACAAGATTTTAATTTACACTTTTAAAGGGTTTGTCCGCGCTATTTGGTTTTTATTTGTTTAAAGTGTCAAAATCGCTTCCTTCTATTCACCTGCCTAAGATATATTGTTGAGAATACAGTTCTCGTACAATATGAAAAATTCAGATAGGATATGCGAACGGTTCCTTAAATTTTGTATTATAAACAGGGTGTCCCACGAAACATGACAGTTGTTGAATGGTTTTGAATGTCTTCTTCCATATATCATATTGGATATTAAAGACTTTTTGCATGCCATTTCGTAAAAAACATCTTTTTCTCAATTATACTTTACTTTGAAATCAATTTTACAATAATATAATTGGCATACAATATTTTTCATCTTTCTCTTTAATATCAAACAAACTAACTAATTACGAAAGAAGGCATTTTAAACTATTCATCAACTGTCATGTTTTGTGGGACACCCTGCCTACAATCCCTTTAATCTTGTATTATATATATAGAGAAGATATGCCTACTGACCTTATATTGAAATTGGACCTTAACAAGCTGGACCCCTTCCCTATGACCGTAAGTATATTTTAATTTTAAAGATATTCAAAAACAATTTTTCCAATGTTTTCTAATGGAAAACTTTTGCATGAGACAGATCTAATCTTCAACACTTCAACTCGATATCTTTTGTGAAAATGTTAAAGTTTAAATTTGAAGCGATGAAGTGCTTAACTCGTGAAAAACAGCTGATTTCAAGAACCCCGATTTCCCGAGAGCAAAATGTTGTGGTTTCCAAATGACTGACCATTTTTTGGGAACTCGTGGGTATTGGGTACCCCGGAGTTGACGCAGGTTTAAATCTTTTTTATTCCACGGACAACGCCGCGGTGTCCTGAATGGAGCGGATTCTTGCATGGGGCGGACTCGACCCCTAAAGTTTTAACACATGATGTTGAAGATAAAAAGCAATGTTAAACATTTAAAATTATTAGTTGACATATATTAAATGCGCATTTAGCCGTTAAATGTAATTAAAAAGCGGTAAAGGCAAAAAAGGTTATTTCCTCTTGAATGTCGTCTTCCATTCAAATCACCAAACAATTTATATTTACTCGAGACACAGATAATTTTTTATGGGTTTTCAAATCAAAATACACAAATAAATGACATAACATTACTTTTTATGTCTAACATAGTGTTGAAATGATTAAAACTTTAGGGAGAGTCCGCTCCATGCAAGAGTCCGCTCTATGAATAGTCCCCCCCCCCATGCAAGAGACCGCCCCATGCAAGAGTCCGCTCTATGCATAGTCCGCCCCCATGCAAGAGTCCGCCCCATGCAAGAGTCCGCCCTATGCAAGAGTCCGTTCCATGCAAGAGCCGCTCCATGCAAGAGTCCGCTCCATGCAGGAGTCTGCCCCATGCTAAAGTCCGCCTCATGTAAGAGTCCGCTCCATGCAAGAGTCTGCCCCATGCAAGAGTTCGCTACATGCATGACAGACCATGCGCGTGTAAACGGTGGTAGTAAAGTATTCCCTCCAGTCTAGAGATATTCATTTAAACTGTCCTAATTTAGGTTCCCTGCCTGAACGGTATCGGTTCATGTGAATACGAGCTCTGTCCCATGATTGGTAATTATATTTATCAAGTTTAAGAGTTTTTTTTCTAATTCACAACGGACTGGAAATAAATGATTGAGTTATCCTTTTTTTCTTCTCAAAAATAAAGTTATTATCACTTGTGGAACAGCCGAGGAAATGAAGTGTTTATTGTATGAAATATTAGCAAACAACGTGTTTATTGTATGAAATATAAGTAAACCACGTGTTTATTTCATGAAATATTAGCAAAACACGTGTTTATTTTATGAAATCACCCAAGTTCAATGATTGTTTATAGTACCTTGCTTGACCCAAATTTCGAAGATAAACATATCCTTGAAAAAAATCAAAAGAATTTCTAAGATATGCAATGTTTGATATTTTCCATAGATTAATAAAAATACAGATAAGACACTAGATGCCGTCTTTTCGAGATTTAGGGGTTTTTGGTTACAATAACCCTAAGCCCAAAGGAGTTATGCGCATGTCGCGTTGAATAACAAGACAGAGAGAGAGCATGCGCGTAACTCCTTTTAACTTCAGCCTCAGGATTATTGCGAACGAAAAACCCTTAAATCTTGAAAAGACGACATCTAGTGTTCTATATGTATTGTTATTAATCTAAGATATTTGCATAAAACTTTTTGCAAAACTTTTTATGATACAAAGATAGCAAGGGATTTTATTTCAATAAACATGCTTTAATTGGAAAATGAGTTACATTACAAGCAAGGTTCTCGAGCTAAAAAAAGCGTGCCAAAAAAAGCGTGCTAAAAAAAGCGTGCCAAAAAAACATCTCCGCGAACGAGAATAAAATATTTAATGCATTCTATTCACAGTGCTTTAATATTTGTTTAATTTCCATTTACTACTTAATTCTAAAATAAAATTGATTTTAAATTTTATTATCACTTCTTTTTCTAGTCGACATGGCTGACACCCTGTGTCCCCATTTCCCCCCTACCCAGCCCTGTGGTTGCCCCCTTCTAGCTGGAGACATGGCTCTCAGTGGTGAGTTTTATATTATTGTTTAATTAAAGTTCATTCGGAATCTAACTTAAAAATCATTTTAAAATATTTGCAGAAACAATGGAATTATTAAACTTTACTGTCCCCTGGTAGGAATATAATATTACAGACAATCTAAACCGTCGATTGGGAATTTTTATTTGAGATTTGTTTTGAAGAATAAACAACAATATGAATTCTATGTTGTCAAAGTGAGAACCAAAAAGTAAAGATTTAATGAATTAACAAGTAGGAAATGAAATAAAAGCTTATCTATTCTTGTAAATATTAACAAAACATATTTTCAGGATTAGAAATTCCAGTTCCTGACATGGGACTTCTTGGTAAGTTATGTATAGGCTGAACTGCAGTGACATACAGGGTGTCCCACCAAACATAACAGTTGGTGAATAGTTTTGAATGTCTTCTTCCATAAAACCATACTATATATTTCAGACTTTTTGAAGTTTATTTCATTAAGAAGATCTTATAATCATGTGTTATACTATGAAATCAATCTCTGTATTAATTTGTTTTTTCAAAATGATTCAATCTTATTAAATTTTCTGATTAGTCTCGAAAATCGTAATTAAGTGCCATTAATTCCAATATGATGTGGGACACCCTGTATATCGTAGTGTGGTTGACCTTAGTAAAGGTCGTTCAACTACTTCTTCTGTGATAATCCCGATTCAAATTGACACAGTTCCAGGATTGAATTTATTGAATTTGAATTGCCTACTACCGATTCAAACCCTTCCTTGAATCTTTAAACTATGAATCAGTGCTTCAAATCTAAACCGACAGTACGTAGATCAGCTACGTAGCTCTGATAAATTAAATTCGGTCCATGGTGGTTTAATATCTTTATGGGATATTTGAGGGTAAACTTTTATGCTTATGATCTGGGTTCTTCGCACTTTACTTTGATCACATTGCATCATTGCATCATTGCATTGTTGCATCATTGCATCATTGCATCATTGCATACTGAAGTTTGTGAATTATAAATAAAACTTTTATATCAAGGTGTTGTGATGGCAGGAGGATACGAGGCTACAGCAACATTCTACGGAGCCTCAAACAAGGACAAGGTCCTAGGCTGTCTTAACCTTACTTTTACACTCAAGGACTGCTGAACATTCATCTAGTATCACTGAACATTCATCAAGGACGACTGAACATTCATTTAGGATTACTGAACATGGATCCAGGATTAATAAACATTGATCCAGGATTATGAACATGGATCCAAGATTAATGAACATTGATCCAGGATTAATGAACATTGATCCAGAATGAACATTGATCCAGAATTAATGAACATGGTTCCAGGATTAATAAACATTGATCCAGGATTAATGAACATTGATCCAGGATTAATGAACATTGATCCAGAATTAATGAACATGGATCCAGGATTAATGAACATTGATCCAGGATTAATGAACATTGATCCAGGATTAATAAACATTGATCCAGGATTAATAAACATGGATACAGAATTAATGAACGTGGATCCAGGATTAATGAACATTAATCCAGAATTCATGAACATGGATCCAGGATTAATAAACATTAATCCAGGATGAATGAACGTTGATCACGATTAATGAACATTGATCTTGAATTAATAAGCATTGATCCTGGAATTATGAACAATGATCCAGGATCAATAAACATTAATCCAGAAGTCTTAAATATTTTATTTATTTTTTATACTATAATTTATGTATGCATGAAATAAAGTTATGACAGCATTTTAGTTTTCGTCGAACAAAAAATATATTGTTTTTGAGGTTCGGCCCGTTAAGTAACAATGACTGCAGTAACCCAAAAAGAACTTCGTTGCACTTTGTTTACATTGTTTACATATACTGTGTTAAATAAGAACTTTTGCAAATTATTTCGTCCACAAAATCGTCCACTAAAATATATTTCACTTTTATTGAATGTTACTTTGACATGACTGCCATCAAAAAATTTTATTATTCTCTTTGGTATCAACAAACTTGTCAAATAATGGAAGAATTAAACTATTCACCAACCCAGGAAACATCTTAATCGACTATGTGCCAATGGCGAAGAATTCGGGTTAATAATTATCTGTTCGACATCGGGTTGTCGGAGACTTCATGTTTACAAGGAACTATCATGTTTCGCGGGAAACCCTGTACAATGCTGTAAAGTGTGTCCCTGCTGTTCTACATCTTTAAGTCAAACTTTAATTTGTCTAGAATCTACCATATGTGTTAACACATATGTACCTCGTCATGTTGATATCCTAACATACTGAGCGTCCCATATCATATTAGATTATCTCCAAGCTTTATACCCGAAAATAAAGATTTAATATTCGAAAAACATAGCATTTCCTGCAAGAAAATTTTTATATTAGCCTTTTTAAATTTTTCAACATGATTTATTCTTCTTAAATTTTCTGATTAGTCCCAGAAATTGTAGTTTAGACGCATGGACGATCTAATATGATATGGGACACCTTGTATATTGTTTAGAGTCTTCTATTTTGTTCTTTAAATAAAAAATGGATAATTAGAGATTATCTTTGAACGTGGGAGGGGTGGCTGCTCTCAGGGTTTTAAAGTGCTCCTACGATTTTTTAGTTGCTTCCAGGGTATTGGAGTAAAATATTTATCCGACCTTTTATGAAACTAGGCTTTTAGGGCGCTTCGCGCCCATCTTTTATTTTAATTGTTCTTTTTGTATACATTAAAATTTTGTAAAAAACACAAACAAAAAAAATTTCGCGACTTTTATGAAAAAATGTTGCAGATTTTCAAAATTTTGAAAATTTGAATTTTGATAGAGGCAAATTTTGGAAATTCGATAATCCTAATTAACCTTCCCTGGGGTTACGCAAGGTCCCACAAAAAATTTGGGCCCGATCGGTTTAGCCGTTTATTAGATACAGACAAACAGACAGATAAACAGACAAACAAAGTATATTTATAAATAAAAGTTCTTTAAAAAGAGTACATTAAAACTGAAACTTGAAAAAAGAGGTGCTCTGCTGCCCCTTTTTTACTGTCTCTGTTCAGATATTTGCAGACAGGGGGGAAAATCTGAAATTACAGTCTAAGTAGTCTGTGGCGTACACATAGTTTTAATTTACCAAACTGACAATTGTGCCAGCTTATACAATAAGCATCGATGGTAAATGTAAAAAAAATATTTATTTTTAGCTAGATACATAAAGGTTTCATTTAAGCTGGTCTCATACATCTCAACATCTCTATCTATAGGAAAATTCCTCAAATTATTGAGATATCTGAGGAATACTTTGTTTTCCTCAGATATTTCAATAATTTGATAATTTCTGGTTTAGTGCGCGCCAAATAGAAGGCTCTACATTAAGAATAGAACAATTTTTACTTTGGTGACTATTGAGTAAAATCCCATTTGTACTGGCAACAATCAATAAAAAAATGTTAAAGGCGAAAAATTGGATTTTTTTAATATTTACCAATAATGTTTAATGTAAAAGCTTAAACAAATTTCGCCAGTTTGACTAATCAAAACTATATGATCGCCACAGGCTACTTGGACTGAAATTTGCGATTTTTTTTCCCTGCAAATATCGGAACAAAAACAGTTAAGTAGGTGTAACGGGGCAATTTCTTCAATTTTCGGTTTAAAGTGCTCTTTTTTAAAGGACTTTTCATGGGTCAGATAAATTATCACATTTTACTCCAAAACCTTTAGAGCAACTCCAAAACCCTGAGAGCAGCCACCCCTCCCTCTCTGAAACTGATATTCATTCTCGATTGCAATTCGAACATTCCTGGAAAATATGAAAATGTCGTCTTCATTACCAAAAATCCTCGAAACAGGAATAAATGTTTTTATAAGTAACTCTCAGATCATAATAATTAAGACATATTATGAAAAATCAACTATTCAAAAATGTGGCGAAAGATAATCGATGACTAAAGGTTGTAATATCTGAATGATTTGTTTGAAATTAAATTGATTTTTGTACGGTCTAAGTCGTATGTTGCAATTTTCTCAATTTGTATGGACGCCATGTTATTCGGTATGAGATGTCTTAAACAATTTTCTCCTTATAGACGCAACAGATAGGAATAAGATTAGTAGCGATCAAAAGCGCTTTTTTATCGCATTAAGCCTATACCCTTACATTTTTCGCGAACACTCCCTTTAAGGAACCGAGAAGGAAACAATTTTTTTGTACTGTGTGTACATAAAGTACAAAAGTACATTAAGTACATAAAAGTACATAAAGTAGTATATGAGTGTAGTATACTGGTCACGTGATACAGACAGAGACACGTGAACACCATGAACACTACACTGCACTACCATTGGTGGGAGTTCTGGTGACCTAATAATGGCTTATAAATCAATTTTATATATTAAAAATAAATTGTAAAATAAGAATTGGATAAACCTGAGTTACAATTAGGTTTATCGTGGATATCTTCGTTTTCAGATTGGTTGCGTATTTGCTGAATATGATCTGTTCAAACCTATTGTTTCTCTACACCCCCTTTCATTTTTCCTGTAGTCCTTTTAAAACTCAGAAAATTAAGAATATTAAGAAAAAAATACCGCAGGTAATAAAACTTCTCTACTTTATACTAAGATTTTATTTTACAGATTTTGATACCAATTTAACCTGACAAACGAGAATCAAATCTGCATGCTAGGTTCAGTATAACAATATTGACTACGAGGGTCCATTAGGAAAAACACAAAATGATACATAAATGATTCTAAGCGTATTCAATCACATATTGAAAATATTTCACTACGTGAACAGGTACAATGTACATAATACTACAGTTCTATAGCTGTAAGTCTTGATCAAGAAGTTGAGTAATGTTGATTGTGACACCAAATTAACAGATTTACCAATGTCAGGATGGATTTCTATCTTGTTTGTCAATTTAAAGTTATTAGATCTCGAGATTTATGGATTTTAGATCAGCATTGACAAAAAAATACTGGAAAGAAAGATTACACAACCTCTTTTTGAGGACTTTCTGATAAACAAACTAAGAAACTAGGATTTTTCTTCAAACTTGAATATAATTTACATATGACAATTAATCGTAATAGGACACAGGAATTGGACTTTGTCAGGTTTTAAATCTAATCGATCAAAGGACATGTTCTCAACTTTTCATATCGTCAAGAGCAGGATAGGACAGGAAATGGGACAAATCTAGAACTTTTCTTGTTACGAGGGCGTGTAGAGTGAAGGACAGAAAACGTTAACTAATGAAAGCATGTACACGTCCTGAGCTATTCCCTCCTACAAGAACATCTAGAGTAGGATGGAAGTCGATAATAGAACAAATACTCTGCAGATGCTCCCCCGTGAAGGAGAAGATCCTAGACAAGGTGGAGCCGGCCTGCCAGGCCTCCATCTCTCTAGGACGACCCATGCTGCCGGTGAAAACCAGATCGTCATTTCCAGGATGCCAACGTGCCTATGCAAATTAAAGGATTTTTTTCTCTAGAATTGTAAAAAAGATTGAGATTCTTTATGAAAAGTACATCCCCTCTCTTAAAAAATCAGAATTCAACAGACGAATTCCCCCTTTTAGTACTTTTACTTAATTAAAAAAAAACTTTTCACCCTGAAAAGTATTTCATAACAGATTCTTTCCTTGATGGTTTGTCTGGTCTACAATACCCTTTTTTAATTGGATATCCATGGTAAGCTCAGTAAATTTTTTTAATTTCATTTGTGGGTTGCATTTTTTTGCTTCAGAACAAAATTGATAGATTAACATAATTGAACACAATTCAAGCCACATTATTGTTCAGATAAAGTTTTCAGGGGTAACGTAATTAGGCATGAATTGTGAGTGGGCTGTCACGTACATAACGCCCCTATACAAGAACATTAATAACCTTGAAAGGTGTAAGCCAACGACCCGTCTGGTTATTGTGCCGCGTCTCCTTTCCTCTGAGTTGAGCCTCAAACTTGCTTGTGTCAAACAGGCGCAGCTTGTCATCATAACTGATAGTTAGCACCTGAATATTAGCACAAAGATATTACACAAATATAAACGTTGTCATTGTGTTTAAGACGGTGTTACAGGTTAAATACCGATTTATGGTCATGACATCTTAGATTATGATATGTTGACTAATTATTGTTATTGATTAAGGACAACCCGGCGGCGTTAAAAAAGTCTGGAGCGCTTTGCCGAGTAGCATAACCAGAGTTCGCTGCAGGTACGAGTTCTCTACAGGCATGACACCGGCACTCCTACTCCTCCTAATCGATCTGCTCGTAATATTTACAAAAAATGTGTCTAGTCGTTTTGCCCAGTTCTGCTAACATAAGTGTAATTGTTTCATTCATTTTTACGCTTTCTGAAAACATTTGATATTGAACCGAAAAGAAAAATAATAAGTAAAATGAAAAAAACAGTTTTTATTAGATGAATAATTATTATAGGGGAAGGAAAAACAAAAAAGTTCAAAGGCTAGACTGTTGATTTTGATATGCTTTTTTTCAAAATCCTGAAAATAAGACAAGGTGGTAGGGGGGGGGGGAATTCATCACTGAATGCAGTTAGAGTCTCAAAAAGAAAATTTACCTTATTTCCCGTGATAGGACTGAACAGAGCACTACTTACAGATTTTGTATGCCCTGTCAGTTCACAGATAGGATCCATCAAACCTTTCTTCCCCTAGATAAAACATTCAACATGAAAGAGATAAAACATTTAACATGAAAGAGATAAAACATTTAACATGAAAGAGAAAAAACATTTAACATGAAAGAGGAATAAAAAAGGATTTGAGAGATCCTTGGAACAGTTTTTCTTCGAATTGAACAGGGGAATAAATTTTATTGAAATAAGAAATTTTGTGAATGTTTTGGTGTAGGTACAGGGTGTCACACGTCATTTCGGATCGTTCATGGCTCTAAATTTCGATTTTCGGGAATAATTATTAAATTAAAAAAGAATAAATCATTTTACAAAATTGTAGTGGACTAATATAAAAAATTTGCACGCAGAAAGCATCAGGTTTTTCAAGAATTATGTGTTCAGCGTTAAATCTTGGAGGTAATCTAATACGATATGGGACGCTCTGAATATTGGGGAAATGTAAAGTATCTAAAAGGGAGAAAACAGTTAATTCACAACTTTTCTTAACCTTGACAAGACACGACTTTGCTTTGATTACCAAGAGGTACAATGGAAATTAAAAGAAGTCACTCTCAAGTAAGAAGAGTGCCTGTAGACGTGTAGGCAAGAATCAGTAATAAAAGGAATATAATGAACCTTATTACGTCTCAAGTTTCAATTATTAAAAAAAAATGATAATTAACCCAAAATTTCTTCAAACCTGGTTCCTAGTATCATATATGAAGCATCCGGCTTTAGCATTGGCAGACATGAATATATTGGATTGGACCGGATGAACATCGATACATTTAGGACTGGTCCGCGGGTTGAAAATTCTATACTCCTAAATATATATTAGTTATAGACTTAATTACATATAAATGTAATAATACTAGGCTTTTACTGCACCCCCTCTCCTGGCGGTAGTTAGTTCTATTGTAAACAGCAATTCTAAAAACAATTTCGTTTAAGGCATTTTTGGAGGTTGTCTTCTAATGCTCAGTCAGTGGCACTGCAAATTTTTACCTTAATCTACTCTTTTTTCGGAAATCTGTGCGTCGACGATTTCGGATCAAAAAGTGTAATGAATGGATGAAATTGTTTAAAGAATTGTATTTTTTTACGTAATATATGACTATTGATTTAATAAGAAGAATTGTTTTGCTTGTATATCGTGAAATCGGGTGTCATAAAAGAAATTATTCTCATAATTGTTTTTTTTACATAAGAATTAAGTATCGCTCTAAGGATTGGATTCATGTATTGTATAATTACGAAAGTACAGATCTCAGAAAAAGTACATTTAGGTCAAAACTTGCAATGCCAGTTAGCATAAGAAGAGGACCTCCGATCAAAAAGTACCTCAAGCGAGTTTGTTCTTATAATTGCTTTTTGCATAATTGTAATTTGACGCATTTCACTTGTGCACTCTGAATTTGCACATCTCAGAAAAAGAGACATTTATGTCATAACTTACATTGCAAGTTTGCATACGAAGACGACCTCCAATCAATAAGTGTCACAAAGGCAATTGTTCTTGGAACTGCATTTTTCAAAGAAAATTGTTTATTACAATAATTACAGGAAGCCTATTGCTTACTTATGGTGAAATCGCAAACCCACTGAACACTTTGTAGGTTTATGTTAATCTGTATTTTTATAATATAAAAGAATATACACCTGTACTGTTTTATCAAAACCGGTTCGTGTATCTACCAGTCCTACACATCCACTCCCACCCTAACAAAAAGAATAATTGGTTTTGTTAAACATTCAACCAACCATCGTAGATCTAAGATTCATCTTAAATTGTTCTGCAAATCTGCTCATCTAGCATCGGTGACATTAAATCGACATACAATATATAAATATGTGGGAAGATGACCCATAATGTAACTGCCGGCTTCTAGCGCGCCGGTCAGAATGCTCGAATATTTATTTTGACCTTAGAAATGAATTCCTCATACCAAATTACTATTAATCGACATACAACATGTAAAAAATGTACTAAGATGACCCATAATGTAATGGTTGGCTACTAGCGCGCCGGTCAGAATGCTCCAATGTCTATTTTGACCTCGGAAATGAATTCCTTGTCCCAATTTTGCTATAGTTTGATGTATCTCATGCAACTGTTATTCTAACTTAGGCCAAACTTAAAACATAAGTATTCAAAGATATTTTCTTTTCTTGCGCGCGCGCGGACATTTAAGCCTTTGGAGGTGAATTTTTGTTTCAAGAGTGTCAGGAAAAAACCTCAATAATTTAAATATTTAACTCAATTTTCTCAGGATTATATATGGACTTCAAAACATTTGAATACCAGACATTAATATCAAAAGTGGCCATCCTAGAGTTTCTCGAGAAAAAAGCTATGAAAAAAACATAATATAATTAGCAATGGGTGTTTTTGCCTTATATTTTCACCTAGGATAACAAATTTCCATGTTTGATAAAAGCAAACTTATACAGAATAAAGTTTTAAAATGTTGGAACCTTCTCATATTGTTGTAAAACCTTTAAAAAGTCTAAAAATACTTGAGTTTCCATATTAATAAACCTTCGAATTTTAAAGATTGCATTTAATGTTAAAAAGAATTTTTTTAAAAAGAAATAATCAGACGAAATTTATTTTCCGCTTAATTTCTAATTTATCTTGAATTACTCATTCTACTGTGACATATCATTCAGGACCAAACTATTTAATCAAAACTAATTAACTACTTTACAGGGAAGTAGAGGGAATTTTATTTTGCTAACAAAACAGACAGAACGAAGAGGGATGTTTTGTAGACAAATATTGGAGGAAACCCATGGTTTAGTAAATCTTTTAATTTCCCAAAAGATTAGTTTTAAAAATGCGCGAAAACTTTCTCGAAAACTGGGTTATCATTTTACATATCTGCCCCCAAGGGACGTTAGGTAATTTAACCTTCCTCTGTTGGGGTAATCAAAGCTCGATAATGTTGGTCAAAAGGTGGTAAAAAATTTAACAACGTTTATTAAAGCTCGGGCTCCATCTCCTACCGCTCCTGTTTGTTCTACTCTTAATTGATTTAAACTGTATACCTTGGCTACAAGGTAGGTAAAAGCGTCGATCTGACTGTGAGCTGTCATATATCCACCTCCCTCGATGAAATCCTTATCCCCATACACAAGTCTAAATATTTTGGCAAAAATTAGAAATATTTTCTGTTGCAATAGAGGACGCAATAATAAGGACGCACCAAAACTAAACAGTAAACACGCCTGTTGAGGACGCATACAAGGACGCACATTAAACATTTCTATTGACGACGAAAGGATGCAGATCGAGGACGCACATTGAGAACAAATTTTATCATAATTTATATGCGACTTTATGCCAATATATGATATGTTAACTCTAAACGCAGTAAGGTTAGGTAGATATGTTTCAAATCAAATCAAATGGCAAGTTCTAAAACTATCTTAGGCTTCTAAAATAATATTGAAAATTCAGACGTTAGTTATCCGCCTTCAGGAAAAGACACTGGATATTCATGCTATTCTTTCTGGGAGAATAAGTTATAAAACATAAGTTATATATTAATTATTATTTATTTACTAGATTGGTGAAAATAAATAATTTTTTAGTTGAAAGCATCAAAATGTGCATTGTGCAGTGCATAGCAATTTCTTTTCAACAGGTCCACGGATGCCTAGTTTGACGTAAAACAAATAACATATATTTGAAACAACCCTTTCGTCTAATGTTCAGAAAAATAAAAGTTAAATTGAGAAGGAAAGTTAAAATTATTTAGAGAAGATGGTTTCTTGGATAGTTCAGAATTAAATAATAGAGCTTAAATTTCCAAGAATAAACCCTGCAACTAGACAAGAAATATTAATTACAAGAAATTAAAGGGAGAGACCGGCTACTTAACATATTTGAACTTAGTATGCAGAATTGTAGAGATTAACTTAAGGATTTATTTGACACCAATGAACGATTTTTACGGTGTACAATTTTTAAATATGAGGGTATAATCGTTTGTTATATTTCACGCGTAGTTTCAGTCAGCAGAAGACACGTTTATTTTACAATTCTTCAATAACATGGACATAACATGTTACACATACTATTCTACAAACTAGAAACTTCATTCATTGAAAATAAGTTATTAAAATTCATTTTAAAACCTTGCAGGTTTATGCTAATTTTTTCAGCTAGGGTCTCTTGTTGGAGGTGTAATTGTGAAAACAACATTTTGAAGAAATCTGCGAAAAAAATTATAGAAACAGCAAAGGTAATAGTGATAATAAGATTATTAATTCTACGGCTCTGCTATGGCTTTCATCGATAATTTTTATCAAGAAATATGTTCCAACAGCAAATTAGTTAATAAATAAACTATTTTTTATCTACAATCTACAGGTTTTGTCCGGGTCATTAAATAATTGTGAAAAACGTTTCTTCTTCTGGGCTTAACAAAGGGTAAAATATTAAAAATGACTTTACGCTCTAATGTCGCATTGGTGTCAAATGAATCCTAAAGTTTTTTCTCTACACTACTGCAATTTCAGCTCAAATATGTAACATAGCCGGTCTTTCCCTTTAATCAAAAATGCGGCGAACCTTGATAATTAATTACAACTAATTGGTGAGGAGAAACGATGTTAACAACATTCAATAATATTATATATTATATCCTTCATGCTTCTCCTAAGAAGAGACTGAAAGGAAAATTTCTATGAACAAACAAAATGAATGCTTCACAGGAATTATCTAGATAAAATTATGAATGGGTTCAAGTTTGAATATAATCTAATTCTTGAGTGCTTGCATTAAAACTGAATTGATTGGGAGGATGTATTTAATTTTAACAAAAAGAGGGGGTTCGACTTAAATTTACCTATGTTGCATCTTCTCAGTGTCCAGCACTCTTGTAGTACCATCGTAGCTAGTGGTAACCAGCTGGTTGCTGTTGTACCTATGTAAAAATACAATTACAGAATGTTCCAGCATAAAAAACTTACTACAATAATACCAAGTGACGTATACATACACATTACACATACAGGATTACCTGAATAAACTAAAATATTATTGTAACTATTGAATATATTGTTAACTGTAATTTTTTGTTGCTAATTATAAACTTGGTGTAAGTTTCCTTTTATCTCTACGAAATTAAAACCCATATTAAATCGCCCAAAAAAATCATTTTAACAATTACATAAGAATTATGGTTGTTAAATGTTGAACATCATTTTTAATTTTTGTAATTAGAACAGAGTACCAGTGTTTTGGATCCATTAAATTTTAATTCAGGGGTGCAGCTTGGGTTTTCCTTAAAATTTCCCTTTGTCGGAAAGACTATAACACAAAGGACAACAGGGACCAATACCTTGTACCCTTCCTCCAACAAATCTCCTTATCTCTGTCCTACCTGCTCTCCCACTCAATTTCAAAAGAACTATTTGTAGAGGCCTCAAAGAGTAGAAACAAGAAGCAAGAAGAAAAAAGAAAATTGAAAAGGAAAAATTGGAAGGGAAATCTCTCTTTATTTTTGAAATGGGGGCTTGGAAGACGATCGCTCTCCCCCCTCCCAAGAAATTATCAGGAATTAGTGTTTTGCTTAGTCAAATGAAACTCCGGAGCAAACAATTCAATATAGAGTTCTGAAAAAAGAAAGCAAGATCCTCAGCCAGTTCAATTAAATACAGAGTTCAGAAGACAAGCAAGATCCTCTCAGCTAGTTCAATTAAATACAGAGTTCAGAAAACAAGCAAGATCCTCTAAAATTAGTTCTTTCTTGTAAAGCGGCAAACTTCAAGGATAACCAATTTTTTTTTTCAAAATTAGCCAAAATATGATTGAAAGATATACTAACAAGAAGAAGAAAATGAAGAACAAGAAATATAGAAATCTCAAAATATTTTCATCTGATATCATATAAATACTTAAAAATATTGTAAAACTGAATTAAAATAAATCATTAAAGTAAAAAAAAATATTTTGATTTAGATCAGGACCCGGAGCCTGGATCTGCCCATTAAAAATTAAAGGATTTTTTGAACAAAGGAAGAATTCTCAAATTTTAGCAGTTATAAATTTTTAGCTTTAAGTTTAAATTTTGCCACTCTTTGACCAAAATGTTGCAGATCCAATGAAATCCAAAGAACTGATATAAACTCTTAATAAAAAGATATGAAATTAAAGTGTAAAAAACATATCAGAATAAATTGTGGATGGCTTATGCATTCTCGTTCATACAGGTTTAGTCTACTTTTTAAAGACCTCGTATTGAAAAACACCTGACCTTTCTCTTCATTAAATTTTAAGATCAAATGTAGTACACAGGCAATTAAAAACTCTGTGCTAATATTTGTCGATAAATACACTTTAGTAATTTTTAAGGCGTGGCCTGGTGCCAAAGAAAGCATAACATTACAAGTATTTTTAACGTTGTTCTGCCTTGATCAAAATACTATTTTTAACAAATATTTTTTACCTGTCCCAACTCATGCAGTTGACTGGTCGTGTATGTGGGGTAAATGAGTGTACTCCATGTTCCTAATCAATAAATAAATAATCAATCATCAATCAGTCAATATTCAATAACTAAATGATCAATTATCAAATGATCAATTATAAAATAATCAATTATCAATAATCAATCAATCAATCCAGTCAATCCAGTCAATCAGTCAATCAGTCAATCAGTCAATCAGTCAATCAGTCAATCAGTCAATCATCAACCAATAATCAATCTACCATTAGTCAATTAATCAATAATCAATCAATAATCAATCAATACTAATTCAATAATCAATTATTAATCAATCAATAATCAATCAATAATCAATCAATAATCAATAATTATCAATCAATAATCAATTAATATTTAATCAATCAATCTATATTTGATCAATCAATAATCAATCAATCAATAATCAATCAATAATCAATCAATAATAAATCAATAATCAATCAATAATCAATCAATAATCAATCAATAATAAATCAATAATCAATCAATAATCAATCAATAATCAATCAATAATTAATCAATAATCAATCAATAATCAATCAGTCAATCAATATTTAATCAATCAATCAATGATCAATCAATCAATAATCAATCAATCAATAAACAGTCAATAGTAATAAAAAATCAATCAAGTAATAGTCAGCTTACAATCAAATCTTGTTATCAATCATTTTAATCAAAATGTAAAACCCTTTTAGAACAAACCTTGGATGAAGTATCGGCAACATCCCAGAGCCCAACACCTCCCCATTTCGCCCCAGCACTCACCAGAACCTTAAATGAAGGTTAAATGACCAAGGGACAGCTAATATCTCTATTGCATTAAAAAAAACATGATTGAAGGAAAATGAATTCTCCATATTCCGAGGTCAGTCAGAATTATAATTATTGGTTTGTCCAAGTCAAAAAAAAAAATTCCCTTCAAATAGAGGTGTGATGAAATCAGTGGCTTAAATAATATCATTGTCAGCTAATAGAATAATCTAGGTTCATCCAAGTATGCTGCGAATCATTTTTCTTATATTTTAAGCGAATTTTCATGATAAAACTTGATGAATCTTTCAGAGAAAAAGATATTTTTAATAAACTCCCTTTTTCAGCGTTCAGATTTGGGTTAACAGAAATTTTTGTTTCTACAGTTTTGAAAGAAATTTTGCCCATTCCATGGATCAGCATATTTATTCGGATCTGGAGCCAAAATCTTACGGATCCAACGGATCAAGATTCTAAGCACTGCCTGTCAGTAAATTAAATCATGGTGACTTGTCGCTCTGGATTTTTAAAAGGATTTTTTTTAACTTTCAACATTTCACAAATTTATTCTTAAAAATGTTGCTTCATTTTTTCTCAGGTTCTTAGCATACTGTTAACAATTTTGAAAATTGCAAAACTTCTCAGATTATTTTGAAACGAACCTAGTTATGTCCAACCACTAGCTGATATAGAGTTATCACATTCATGACTAAATTCTATAATTTTGGATGAATTACCTTGTGACTGGAGGGATGTATCGCCATGGAAAAGATACGATCTGGCACAATCTTCACAACTCTTTCCTCGTTAATTGTCATCTTCTCAAATCTTGCCTCGTAATCACCTGTTTCAGAGGTAACAAATTTAAAATAGATATAAAAAATAATATATTTCAATACTCAAACCTACGGAAAAATTAATTTTGCTTCAACTCATTCAATTATAATAATCATTTAGTAAAAGCTGCAAAGTTAAGAAGAAAAAAGTTTAATTAATTGATAACAGAATCAATTTAAGATAATTTTGCTTACATCCCAAATCATTAATTTTCATTACGACATTATTGATCTGATTTTGCTAGAAAATAAATAAAAATACATCTAATGTTTAACTTGTTGTTAACCAGTTGGTTTAATTGTTATTATTATTATACCAAAAAAACTGACAATTTTACCTTTTTCCTTTTCTTCTGATCCATTCATCCGTGCTATGTCAGATTCAGATTTCAGGTTGAAGGAGATATTTTCCAGAAACTCTCGAGCACTCTTCAGCTCACTCTCATCATCTCCATTCTTCAGGGTATCCTAGGTAGGTGATTAAGTAGGTAGGTAGGTAGGTAGGTAGGTAGGTAGATATGATAGTTATGTAGTTAGGTGTTAAGTAGGTAGGTAGGTAGGTAGGTAGGTAGGTAAATATGGTAGTTAGGTAGTTAAATGTTAAATAGGTATGTTGGTAGGTAGGTAGGTAAATAGATTGGGGGTATAGGATTAGGTAGGTTGGAAGTAGAGGATTAGGTAGGTCGGGAGTATAGGATTAGGTAGATGGAGAGTATAGGATTAGGTAGGTGGAGAGCATAGGATTAGGTAGTTGGCGAGTATAGAATTAGGTAGGTTGAGAGTATGATTAGGTAGATTGGGAGTATAGGATTAGATAGGTTGGGAGTATAATTAGGTAGATTGGGAGTTTAGGATTAGATAAGTTGGGAATATTATTAGGTAGATTGGGAGTATAGGATTAGATAGGTTGGGAGTATGATTAGGTAGATTGGGAGTATAGGATTAGATACGTTGGGAGTATGATTAGATTAGGTAGATTGGGAGTATAGGATTAGATAGGTTGGTAGTGTGATTAGGTAGATTGGGAGTATAGGATTAGACAGGTTGGGAGTATGATTAGGTAGATTGGGAGAATAGGATTATGTAGGTTGGGAGTAGAGGATGAGGAAGGTTGGGAGTATAAGATTAGGTAGGTTGAGCGAATAGGATTAGGTAGATTGGGAGTATAGGTTTAGATAGGTTGAGAGTATGATTAGGTAGATTGGGAGTATAGGATTAGATAGGTGGAGAGTATGATTAGGTAGATTGGGAGTATAGGATTAGATAGGTTGAGAGTATGATTAGGTAGATTGGGAGTATAAGATTAGATAGGTTGGGAGTATGATTAGGTAGATTGGGAGTATAGGATTAGATAAGTTGGAAGTATGATTAGGTAGGTTGGGAGTTGAGGATTCGGTAGGTTGGGAGTATGTTTAGGTTGATTGGGACTTTAGGATTAGATAGGTTGGGAGTATTATTAGGTAGATTGGGAGTATAGGATTAGATAGGTTGGGAGTGTGATTAGGTAAATTAGGACTTTAGGATTACCTGTAATTCCAAAGTCTTGAGAGGGAGGGTTAAGATTTCCTTTTCTTCCACTGGCTCTGGTGCATATCTTGATATCTCTGCAACCTTAATAATAAAACTAAAGAAAACTTCTCTTAAAGAAATAGGTTTTATCTAATCAATTTGTGAAGGGTCATGAAGGAAATTGAAGGGCCTTGAAAGGTCTTGAAGGGTCTTGAAGGGCCTTGAAGGGCCTTGAAGGTTCTTGAAGGGTCTTAAAGGGTCTTGAAGGGTCTTGAAGGGTCTTGAAGGCTTGAAGGGTCTTGAAGGGTCTGGAAGGGGATTAAAAGGTCTTGAAGGGGCTTGAAGGGTCTTGAAGGGTCTTGAAGGGTCTTGAAGGGTCTTGAAGGGTCTTGAAGGGTCTTGAAGGGTCTTGAAGGGTCTTGAAGGGTCTTGAAGGGTTTTGAAGGGTCTGGAAGGGGATTAAAAGGTCTTGAAGGGGATTAAAGGGTCTTGAAGGGGATTAAAGGGGATTAAAGGGGATTGAAGGATATTGAAGGGGATTGAGATGATGAAATGAATGATCAAATAAAGGTGAAAAGAATACCGATGTGAAACAGGATTGCATGAGGGTCACCGAAAATCCCGACAATTCGGCCCTTTTAGCTGATCAGCTTGAGTAAACGCAATAAATACAAAATAATACAATATTTTAGTGTTCAAAATTTGTAGTCGGCACTAATTCGGGTCAGGCTAAGCGAAGTTTTCATTTTTAGTTTGGGACGATATTCTTTAATTTTCGAGCCATATACAACCAAAATATTTAAAATCCAGCAGGACAAAACCAAACAGTCCTTACCATTCCACCGCTTAATCTAGAGGATTTCCTCGGTGGTAAAACTTCCTTAGGTTTAGGATTAGTCAGCAGTCCACGCTTCGAAGCTGCTGACTTCTTGGAAGCAGAAAATAACTTTGTTTTAGATTCAAGAATTCCTGACATCATACTTTGCATTTTCTGGATATTTTTCAATCTGAGTTTCTCAAATTCTGATAATTCGGCATGTTCTATATTCACTTTCTCCTGCTTAAAATGAACAAATCAAATCAGTTAAAATATGAAGGGTTACTCTGAGTCATTTCAATCTAAAATTTTTGTAAAATGTAACGTATGAGAATTAATTCAAGCAATGAACATCCATTAAGATAAACCTTATAGAGAATACATAAGTCTTTGTTCGGCCCGAAAATCGTCTAAGAACTCCCAGACAGTTAAAAAAATCACCAAGATTTGATTCCAGTGGGGAGAGTGGAGAGAGGGGTCCAGATATCCGATTAAAAAAATTTCGAATTTGATATAAAAGTTTTGATAATGCTTTTGACTTGATATAACCAAAAAATAGTTGATAAATGTTTTCACTTACATGTAGGTTTATTATATATAAATTGATTTTAAAGAAGAGAGAGAAGGGGTGGACATTTAAAGTTTATTCAAATTAAGTTCCATTTCCCGCAAAGACCAGAGTCTTGATCCTCTCTGGAGAGAAAGTGAAAGCAGTCTTATACTTGACCACTGTATAGCGTAATTTTAATTGACCCTCCATGCTAAGATGACAATGCCCAATTTACAACGGTACTTTTGAAACTATAATCTGATCTAAAATGTGAAAGATACCGTCATTTTCCAGACTAGAAAATTGTTTAACTTTCTTCATTGATTATTATAAGCAAGAAATGCACAAGCCACTTTTACAGAGAACCCGCATATGATAACAAACAGTGTAAAGAAACAAATAAATGGATAACTAATTCATACTTGATCAGACAAAGCTTTTAAGGGTACCGCTATAACTCGGACATTGCCATCTTTCCGGCCATGGCGGGTTGAAATTACGTTGACAGTCCCTTTAATTAAGAAAACTAAAAGTTGAAGATTCAAAAATACTAATTTTGTTTCGACTATATTTGTTCATTCCTGTTTGGGTTTCTTTTTCTTGATTTTACTCTCATCCTCACTTTCACTCTCATAATTACCATCTTTTTCATCATCATCATTATCATCTTCGCTTTGGTTTTCATTCATATCAATAGTTCTAGCTCGGGTTTGACGTTTGGGTGGAATATAGTTCACAATAGAACTTAGTACAACTCTTTTCGAGGACAGTGCAGAGGCTGCTGTAGAGGATGGTACCGAGGCTGTTGTAGAGACCAAGGCAGAGGCTAAATAGTCAGGTTTCAGACTTAAATTATAGCTTAACAATTCGACACTAGGTAGCACCAAAATTTGTACAGTTTTAGTTATCCACAAATATCACGTTGTGATCAGAGGACAATGATTAAGTTTGATGTCATGTTAAATATAAGGTAATCTAAGGTAAAAAAGAGGGATCTCAGAATAAAATCGAAACACCAAAAAAAAACTAGCATTTTCATTGATTTTCTATTTGACCTCCGGAAGTCTTTGATATTTAGAGGTCAAAAATTGCTAGAGTACGAGAAGGATCCGTGAGATAAAATCCAAAGGTCATAATAGAGAAAGGCCAAAATAAAGGTCAAAAATCAGCCTGCACACACTTAGATGAGTGTCAAATATCACAAAGCTTTAAGAGGGCAACAATATTTGTTTTTTGTGTCTTGTAGGCTTTTTTTCTAAATTAACTTAATTTTTTCAGACATTAAAATCTCATCTGAAGACTAGAAGGTAAAAATTTGTATTGTTGTATTTCTGTATCTGACCAAATAATAAAAATTCAATATTTGTTAGAGAAAACTTTCAAGAGGCAAGTTTTAATTGATTTTACGATGTACTTTGTACATTGTACATTGTAAATTGTACAAAAAATTGAAATATGATGAGTTTAAAACAAGTAAATAGGTTCCAATATCTTTCGATGATGTTCTGAACACTATTTACATTTGTTTTCATAGTTCACAAAAAAGAGAAAATATTCATTAAATTTCCAAAAATCTATGTGATTCTGAAGAAACAGATGAATTTATTTTTTATTTTGAACTTTTGTTTTGATAAAACTTTTCAATAAAAGCAAGGGAATAAAGTTTGAATTTCACTAATGCATTTATTTTAAATAGAAAATAGAAAATTAGTGGATAGGAAGGAACAATGAAAAGTTGTAACAGGTTGTCAACAATTAAGATTTGCAATTCAAATTTCTAATGCTTGGAAAACTTATATGGTAAGAAGAGGGTTGAATTCTTTGTAAATTTCTAATTTCATTTTACAACTTGACCAATTTTTTAAAAATCCTGTTCAACACCATGTTTAAAATTATTTGAAACCATGCACCAAAATAAAAGTCTAGTCAAAAGTCATATCAAATAGTTAATAAATAAAGTCCCCTAATTAGACTTTTAGGATGATTTACTTCCACAATGCCATGTTAATGTACTAAATCGGAATGAATTGAGATTACTTAAGATTTGCAAAGACTTCATCATTATCGTTTCTGCAGGCTAATTCACGAAATCATCATAAGCCGGAAATCATCAGGTTGAGACCTTCCCCCCCCCCCCATTATATTGCAGCTAACATCCGACATTATCGTCAAATCAATCCTCAAATAAAATAAAATAAGGGCGAAATCCCCCCCCCTCACACACTCTTCCCCAACTAAAAGAATAAACCCAGTATGACTGAAATATATTAAGTTCAGTTGGGCAAGACGAGCGGGGAGGACTGGCTGAGGGCCGAGCTGATAAGAAAACGTTGGGGTTTAAGAAAGTCATTATAACTATGAAATAAAAAATTTATTGTTATCTAGCAAATAATGAAGGCTTGTTACTACTTACCGACTTTCGTCTTCGTTGTCTTGATTTTCGGCTTTTTTATCCCATGTGATACACCTTTCATCCTGGGCGTGATATTTGAGGGTTTTCGTCGAAGTGCTCGCACCATTTTCTGTCTGAAACAATCATAGTTAATCATCCAAATGGTATTAAAATTTAGGACAGTCAACTATTCACAGAATATTAAAAGGACTGTATCCGTAATTTTGTGTGACTTCCTATGCAAAGATGGCAGTGACCGATTGACAATGGAACCCTTGAAACCTTAATATTATCAAAAATGTGTAAGATATCTTCGTTTTCCCAACTTAAAAAATTGTTAAATTGTTAATTATCCCTCACTTCTTTTAAGCAAGTAATGCACAAGTCACTTAGCTGAAAACCCGCAGTTGAAAATCAATTGAAAGAAACAAAAACATGGTTATTCAAATAAACTTTATGAGACATAGCTTTTAAGGGTACAGTAGAAACTCGGGCAGTGCCTTTTTTGCATGGAGGGTCAGACAAAATAACACATTATACACTATAAACATTATACAATATACACTATACAGGCTATACCAACACTATAACAGTTACTATAACTAAAACTTTAAATTGATTTTGAAAAAATTGGACAAAGTTGCATAATTTATAAATTCTTGAACTTAACTTTTCATTTCATCAATTTTTCAGTTTTTTCGTTTTTAAAGTATTTTTTTTAATAATTAATTTTTCAATTCGGGAATTTTTCTTAACAAACTGGATGAACGATAAGTTTCGAAGAAGACACAGCATCTTTAGTTTAGGGTCTAAGGATACTGCAACGCTGGCTAACAATTAACTAATGTCCCTGATCCTGAACCAAGGATCTACAAAACTGTGGATTCGGATCCATAGTATTGGAGAAAATCCATTTAAGCACTTCGGAAATCACAGCAGATTTGTTTGAAAAAAATACTTCTTCCGGTCAAGTATCATGTGAAGTGTTGAGTGTTTTTTTCTCTAAAAAATTTCTTGAAGAATTCGTAACTTGAAATCATGATTGCACAGGCAGGGGCAACCTAGGAAAAAATATCAATTAAACATTTTTTTTGTGTTATTCCTCCTTTTCTTCTTTCTCTTTGGTTTCATAGTTTTTATCTAGACTTCTCTTCGCCTTTCTTTCCTACTTTTCACGTCCATTAACCATCCCTTGTAACTTACCTCCTTTACAACAATCTCAACATTTGCTTAGGATTTATCTGCTTCCTGTACTGTTGTCCACTTGCTTCGGTTTTTCCTTTGAACTTTATTGTCATATATTTTTGACATACATTTTAGCCTTTCCATCTTTCATCTTTCATCTTTCCTCTTAACTTTTCTAACCCTTTTAACCCTTCTAATCAGGGAGTGAGGAATAGAAGGGAGATATGTACTAATCTAGCCCGTTTCTCCTCACTTAATCATTATGACAAAACCGCCTCAAACTATAATTCTTTGTCTATCTTAACTCACTCAGTCTTTACATAACAAGAATTTGTATTGAACTATCTTTATTTATAAAACATGGTTATACCAGAGTCTAAAACTAAAGAACGAAAAGTTGACTTAAATTTTAAGTTCATGGTTAAATGCCACTTCTGACTTAATTTAACGATTCACCGACAAAAGGTCAAACGATACAGGGTCAAACGACAAAGGGTCAAACGACAAAAAGTCAAACGACAAAGGGTCAAAATTGCGACAAAGGGTCAAACGACAAAAGGTCAAAATGATAAAAATATTTTTTGATTTGAAACATAGGAAACTCGCAACCCTCCTATCAATTTTGTACATGGATCTCATATGTTAGACATGGATATAATTGACCATGTAGCTACTCATTATTTTACAGAACTTTTAACCTCGAACTTAAAATTCGCACATTCTTTAGTTTTAGACTCTGGCCGGTATGACCAGCCAGGTTACAAAAAAACTAAAAATAGAATTACAGAATTAATCATGGTAGTGCAGTAAGACAGATAGTTAACTATACTGATATTTCAGAGTTTATTACAGATATAACTGTCGCGGTTCGCCCTACCATATGATTATAAATGCTTTGCAGACGGGTACTCCATTTGTATATGAAATATTCAGAATAGGTTATTGTATACAGACATATTTCTTATTCAAATGAAGTACCGTCTGCAAAGCATGAAGGGCGAACCGCGTCAGTTATATCTCCCTTCAATTACTCACTGCTTTTAACCCTTTTACCTCTCTTTTACCCCCCCCCCCACTAAAAAGTGTGTGAAGCACATTATACCTTAAGAATTCTCGGTGTAAGCCCTGCAAAAAGTCCCCTAGGTCCGCTTTGCTTCAGAATATCCCGAAATATCTCTGAATTGGTCCGGATAACTCCTTAAAATATTTTCACAGGTCAAAAGCGGGATGTAAGAGACTCTTACATCTCCAGGATATCATGTACCTTAATTAAGCTTTAATTATGTCTTTCAATTTCCATATTTATTTTTTTCAGCTATAAATCAGAACTTCTGTGCTGTGAATCTCGGGATTAAGCATTAATCTCCACTTTCTGCAGACCTTCGGATACAATTTTATTCCTCTTGGATATACCGTGGTGGTCGCACCCTGTAGGGACTCTAAAATGAAGGTATCAAGCGTTGAAGCAAATAAGATTATTCTTAAGATATTATAGGAAAGAGAAAAATAAGAAAAAAATTTAATAATTTTTTCTGTGTGAGTATTTTATCCGGAGAGTATACATTCCGAAATAAGTACCTTTCATATACTAATATTTCTATTTATAGATAATAAATAAATGAAGAAGTTTCCGACAAATTATAGAATTATGTCAACCTATTTAGTAACAATAATAATTCAAGCTAAAAAACGAACTTAAGATATCCAATGGACACTTGAAAATTTAAGGATATATGCTTGTTCCCTCAATGAAAGGTAACATAACTGACAACTGACCAGTGATATTAGGATATCGAAGAGGAATTAAATAAATCCGTAGATCTTCATAATATTGAGTTCAATTCTGTATAAACATATTTAAGTTCTGACCTAGGAAAACAGTTAATAAAATCAATGTCAAATCACATCAAGTCCGCATGAAGAAGATTGTTTCAATGCAGAATCTAACGATGAAAATTAAATAATTTTGAGTAGGCAAAAAGTGTTGACTGAATCAACAATCGTCGTCGTATATATCATTTTAATGAAGACGTCTCTATATTTAATTTTTTTATTTCTACCAAGCTTTCAAACTGATAAAATGTAAATTAACAGCTTTTCTTTGTTTACTTGTAAACTTATGATTTGAAAAAAGCTAGTTAGAAATCATAACTTAAATAAAAAGTCGTCTTCATTGTTTTGATATAAACGCCGACATTGTGCGTATTGTATAACATTGTTCAATATTTTCTCTTGACAAATGAAAAAGGACGAGAAACCTGTTGATCCGCCGCCGATCATAGTTTCCCCGAGTTCGATCTGTTTTGTCGTCTTCACAACATCAAAAGGCAGGGTGATTGTGCTAGCCACAGTTCCAGCCGCAGCGCCACTCAAGAAATTAATGAGAAAGGCATCATGGCCGAGCAGCATCTTCTTCTCAAACAACTTCTTTGTGCCCTCGTACAGGGGCCAGTAGAGAGCAGAGAAAGGAACATCTCTATAAAATAAATCATGTTCAAAGCTAAGGCATCCTTAGGTTAAATTTAAAGAAATTGAGCCGCGTCTTAAATTTATATATATATGTGAGCGAAAAGCTTTATTACATATGTTAATAAAGTAAGTCTGGGCCAAGCTAAAAAAACGTTTGTAAACGAAAGATTTAAAAATCGTTGAGGATTTTATCTATATCCAAGATTTAGCATAGTGTAATAAATAAATAAATAAAATGGTCAACCATCATCCCATGTAATCGCTTAAACATAAAAGATTCTTTGAAACTCATGAAGGCCAAAAACTTAAAGTACAAAAAAGTTCATTAAACTTGATGTTTTTAAGTTAATGAACTAGCTAATGAATGGTTGATACTATTAAATATTGAAAATAAATTATGATGAAGGTTTAAAATTGGGAGGAAAATCTGAAGTTTTGTTCTTTAACGATTTTTTTATTCTCACCTGAGTAAGGTAGCAGTGTATCCACTCCAAAGGCCTAAAACAACATTACATAATCTTTATTTTCTTTTATCAGGATTTCTTTCTAAAATAAAGTTTCTGCTTTCAATATTTAATAATTATACGGTTAATAAAAGTCACTGTACGATTGTTTAGTTATACAATCAATTAAAAAAAGTGATTTTCTTATTAAAAGTTGGAAATAGGAGAGCATTGTCATGAAATCTTTTTCAAAATAATGATTTTCAGAATGTTTACTCAATGTTAAGATTGGGCCTCCCCCCCCCCCCTCGACACTTAAAACTTAAACCTATACATTTTTGACGAAAATTATAATATCTTTAAACCTGTATGAGGAAATATGAAAAAAAATATTCAAAATTAAAATTAAAAGATTTTTTAAATGATTAAATTCTAGAAAATTAAGTAAGCTGAAGCCTAATCCGAAATTTAATCAAGATAAAATAAGATCCAAGGTTTTGTAAATTTAGTGAAAAGATTGGACGGTATTTGTCTTTTTTAATCAAATGTGTAAACTCTGAACTATTATTTAGTACAAACTACAGCCTGACAGAAGAAGGCTGAACCAGTGTGATCCAACCAAAAACTATAAAAGCAGGTTGATTAAATAATCGAGAATATTCCCCTTATTCTGTCAAATCTACGAGTTATAATAATATCAAAATGTAATTTTATTTTATATTTTAAAAACTGGGAAGTCATGTAAACTAGATTTTATCAAGCTCTTATATGAATCTAATATTGGCACATTTAAAATGTTAAATCTGTACACGTGTAAATAATATTGAATCCCAAGCTTTCACTCAAAATATAGCAATCGTCAAGTTGCAGGAGATCAAGATCATTAAGACTCCCTAATCTTGTATCAAGAAGTGATCCGTTGTTCAAAAAGCATTCAAGGTACATATTAGTTATCAAAACTTCAAGCATAGATCAATTAAAGGACTAGTTTCATTAATTGTATTGCAGTTGTTTGATCCAGTTGATCATCAAGAGTGATCAGTATAGCCCAGAGTTCATCAGGCTCCAAAAGAGGCTAGGGTTGTCTCACAAACACAAGCAGGTTATTAAACAGAACTTATTGCAATGTATTCATTTGAAGAAGATAATTGACGTTGAATCGTGATTTTAACTGATTGATCTTTAGATATGGAACAGGATTGATACGAGATATCTTTACCAGAGATGCCTATCTACAGTTTGATAAACAACTTTATCCTACATCTTTTATTCACCCATCTACGCTCCCAGTCAAAGATCTCACGGTGATCTAGAGGGATCTCACGGTGATCTACAGCACAGAGCTAGTCTGGAAAACCTCCCAAGTATTGTTTAAATCTAATTTGAGATAAACGTTGGATTAACAATAACTCCTAGGTAGGCTGAAAGAATTAAGCACGACTGTATGTTTCTTCAAAACTACTACTGTACTCTTGAGGGATTGTACCAAGATCAATTCCTGAAGGTGAATATTACTCCTGATATTTCGATAATTATTCTTTGAAGAAAAGATTGTTCCCAGGCCTGACTTTAAACTAGTTTCCTGATCTACGTGCATTCATCCTACGGAATTATGGAAGAATTGCAGGCCGCATTATTCACAGGATTCAATTAGAATATTATTGTCTAATAAACCTAATCTACATAGTCTCTGTAATTACCACAATGAAAACTAGTTCCTTATTGTCTTTTCCATTCAAAGGAGTGATATACTGTATGCAGCTTGGGACACTGTTTTATAATATTCTCATTGAAACTGACGATTTAAGCTTTCATATAAAGTTCTCATATAGTGTTTCAAATCCTTTATCTGGTCGTAAGATTTCACCAGAAATCACATTTTAGAAATGTGTATGATAATCTTATGAGGAAAAACATGTGATAATGGAAATTCTTAAAGATACCGTTCACTTATTTGGGTAATTTCAGGGTAAACTGAACTGCCTATTCGCTCTTGATTGGTAATAGTCTTACTTTTCAAATACAACTGTGGCCGGAGAAAAAGCCGATTTTTCGTTCAGAATTTGAGCGGAAAGGGACGGTCCCTCTCTATAGACACTATTTGATGTTTTTTACAGTAACAGCAGCCCAATAACATTTAAATTTATTATATTTTAATGTCATTATGTGTTCGTTATTATGAACTAAAATATGAAAACTTTTGATATTTGAGTTAGCAAGAAATTTAAGTTTTTCGTATTAAAACATGTAAAATATGTATACAAAGACGACGTCTCTACGACAATCAATAAATCATTACTCGTATTTTGGTTCGTAGATTTTGTAGATTTTGTTCGCGTATGTGCACAACTTTTCAGTTGTCATGCCGCGTTCAATTCAGCTTTTTACACAGGCAATACACAATTTTGAATGCGATAAAATAGTGTTATTTTAGAAATAGATAGTTAAAAAAAAAAAAAATAAAAAAATAATGACATTTACAATTAACGATCAGATACTACAGTTTAATTTTATATTCGAAATTTATTTTGATTCACAACATACTGAAAAAAACATCAATTAGTGTCTATAGAGAGGGACCTTCCCTTTGCGCTCGAATTCTGAACGAAAAATCGGCTTTTTCTCCGGCCACATTTGTCTTTGAAAAGTAAGACTATTACCAATCAAGAGCGAATAGACTGTTTAGTTTACCCTGAAATTACCCAGATAAGTGAACGGTCCCTTTAAACGAGATGAAATAATCTTAATCTTGATGTATTCTTTAACGATGGCCATCACTGTTTTATTTTATTTTCTAATGTTACAATACTAAAATGTTAGAAACCCTTTTTTAAGTAAAAGTTGATTTTTCATTTATGTGGTGTGATTGTTTCCTTAGTTTAGTTTGTTTACCAATTTTTTAATGAAATTGCTTGACTAGGGTTAAGATTTAAATGTTAATTTCTGAATTGTATTTTAATGCGTAACAACGGTCCCAGAAAAGCTTAGTCTGATCCAAGTATTTATTAGATTTGTGTCTTTTTTAATCTGATTATTTTCATTAGTTATTTCTCTGCAAAAACTTGCAAATCTCTTGCAACCGAAACAACGGAGAAATAATCGGAATTAAATAATTATCAAGCCAGAAAAACGACGATATCTTTCAATTCAAGTTTGACGGCTAACATTGTGATACGGAGATGTCGCTCTATGAATTACAATCACAGTTCAATTAAACGGAGCAAAACATGGTTTTTTTGGGAGACTTAATTGTAAATAAAAAACTAGTTATAAAAAAAGTAGTTTTTGTTAGGAGCAAAGAGAGGATAATCAAATAAAAATATGTTTCCCTGATTATACCTTGAATTCCTCGTTGTTTGATCAACTCCGACAAACAAGACTTCACCTAAAATCAACCTTATCATCTATCCAAATATTAACCAATGCTAAGGATCCATTACATCGGATCCGAATCCTGGATCCGCACTGAATTAAAATGGGTCCAAATCTGGATCCCGGTCATTTATTTAATATTTACTGAATTTTTTTTAACAAAGCAGAATTTTCAAAATTTTTCTTAATTTTTTCGCTTATTTTTTAAAACTTGATCAACCATTCAGAAATCAGAAAATTTCTATAACCTCTCTTTTTTCAATAGTTCAGATTTGGGTAAAAAATATTTTTTTTGCCGTTTTTGATTGATATTTTGCCCCTTGGATCCGTATACGTGGATCCGCATAGTTTTGCGGATCCGGATCCAGGAAGTCGATCCTTTGCACTAATATTAACAGGATAAAAATATCTGTTAATAATAAAACTAGCTGTTAACCCTATCAGCTGAAGGCATTAGGCTTGAGCTCCGGTCCGTTTATAGTTTATAAGCTATCCAAAAGAAGGAAGTGTTGCTGCTTAAAACGCTCTCCAACTAATATCCAATAAATTAAAAACATAAACACTTATCAAAGTCATACTTGTCCATTGTCTAAAAAGGGCAATAATAAAATAATCATTTTAATCATGATTACTAATAATTATTAATCCATGATTATTCGCCTCAAACAGTAATTTTTCGATACTTACATCGTTCCCATAGCAATCTGATAACGCAAACCTCAGATATTAAAAAAGTGCTATATAAATCCACGAAATTTGAAATATCTTAGATTTATACCATCACGGGATGAACTGAATTTAGGGAGTTAGAGGCAAATATTGAATTCCTTTTTATCCTTCGATTCCTAGAAAAGCATGGTTAAATTTATGTAGGTCCTTCATGGACACTTAACAGGAATGATTTAGATGGAGGGGGGGGGGGGGGTGGAGGTTTTTGTTTGAAAATCATTTAAACATTTAATTTTGAGAACAGAAGTTATTTTTTCCCACGACCCAGTGTAAGAGATTTGAAGATTAGAAAATCTACAAACTACGAACTTGACAATTACCTGATAAAAAGCCATTTTTTGGCTTTGCATTTTTGTGCGAACAAGCTCTAAAGGATTCACAAGAGTAACCGCCCAGATCCGCGCCAATCCTCCTGAAATACAAAAAAATGATTTTGTTTTTAAAGTTAAGATCCAATTAGTTCATTAATTCAGCTCAGCTTTAAAAATAATATTATTATAGAATAGCTATTCGACATTTGTATAGCGGAGATTAAAATTCATCAAAATTAATATTTATGAGATATTCAAACGTAAATCAGGGAGATAAACATAAAAAGCTGAAAAGGAGAGAAACAAGAAATTAGCGTTGAATGAAACTTTCAAAATAGAAGCGTGTTATAATCTAGACAGAAAATAAGGAATTAACAACGAAAAACGAAACATAGTTTAAAATTGATTTCTAGAATCTACCTGAAGCTAATGCTACCCAGACGGGTTCCCCTTGAACCACGGTGTTAAACCTCTTGTTGATCATTTTCTTCAACTGCTCGTAGGTTGTGAAGTAGACCATGGTGGTGGGGACTGCCAGGACCAGGGTAGGCGATAAACCGGACCACAGGGACCCTACTCCCTCAACCTGCATTAACAAGGGGCATTAAATCAGAAGTAACAGGGGGGGGGGGGGGGGTAAAAGGGGGTTATTCGGTTAAATTAATGTTGGAAGAAACCCACATTTATTAATGAGTGAGAAACAGTTGAACTGCGCGGACTAAGTTGAACACATCTCTGAACTACATTATGATCAAGTTCACTTCAGAAATGGATCAAAAACCGAAAAATACATGAACTTTTTTACTTTTTTTCAGTTTACAGTAGAACATTTCCAAGGAAAAATTGGTTTCTGAAAGCTCTCCGAACTATAGTCAAATTTTACAACTTGCCATATTGAAATATTGATGAACTTGGAAAAGAAATTTTAAGACTCAGGAACTCTTGCATCCAGATGGAGTTGGCATTGTGAAATAAGGATTTGTTTGGACATTAACCGGTAAGTATTGCCTGCTTTCGAAACATATTTAACAATCAAGAGGGGGGGAGGAAATATCAAGAATCGATTTTAATTTCAATTATCCGATGAAATGATGAACTTACCTTGGCTATTTTGACGAGAGCATCTGTAGTTCCTGTAAAGTATTTGGGCCGATTATACCATTTACAGTTACATATCTCCTCAACCGTGTGCAGGGCTCGTACAGGGGGGTCTCCGTTCATCCTTCGCACCCGCAAACAATAATAATAAACAATATTGATAATATAATATCTTGTCAGACCTATTCAGTCTTCAAATTCACAACAAAAGAATTGTTCTAATCTTGGCAGAAGGAGCGGAGATGTATCCCAGGATTTATATTTTCTAGATTTACCTTCCCCTCCCCCCTTGGCAGAAGGAGCGGAGATGTATCCCAGGATTTATATTTTCTAGATTTACCCCCCCCCCTTGGTGGAGGGTGGTGGAAAACATATTTCAATGTAAAGGAGAAAAAATAAAACATAAATTAAAAACTACTAAATTCAGGGGAAATTTATCTTTAAAAGGAGGGCGGGGGGAATGATTTTTCAATAAATATGTACACCTGGAGGGGAGGAATGGGAAAAATATTTTAAGAGGATGGGGGGGGGGGGTTGCGTGGTAATATTGCAAAGCAACAAAATATTAATTTTTACAAGCTTACCGGGGACAGATATGGTCCATAATACCGTTGCTGTACAGAAAACATTTCCTCATGTACACTTGTTCCTGGGCCTGTACAGTTAACAGTTAATTTTAATGTACTTTAACTTTAAGGGACTATCCACGTAATTTCCAGTGAAACTCCTTTTTGAGTAAAAATTATGAAGTAAATCTTGTTTTTTTTTCCAACAGAAACGTAAACATTTTAATTGAGGTTCTCTATTACTTGGAAGATCTTAATGAAAATTCCAACCTGAAGTCTAATTTTAACAACATCCAGGGGAGTCATAAAAAGGGAGACCATGAGTGCCCCTGCCCCTGAGCTTAACATCTGCTGCCGAGGACTAAGGGCTGACCCTTCAGGGACGTTTGAATCGTCTCTAGAGAATGCCATTGTCTCTGCAGAGTGAAACTGAACAAAATAAATACTTCCAGTCAAAAAAAAACTTATAACAGTAAGGTGAGAAAAGTCATGGATGATAAAAAACCTTGACAAACTTTGTTTATTGTGACATTGAGATAATGAACCTCAGGGTTACGTATTTTTCAGAATAACATTAAAAACCGATTTTCGATGATTTTGGAAAAAAAATTAGATGTGAAATTTTTGATGGGCTTGGGGTGAAAAAAAATTAAATGCGAAATCAAAAGACAAGTTTTCTTCCTTCATTTCCATATTTTTTACCCAAAAAATTCATTTTTTTCACCATGAAGTCATTGTTTTCCCCTAAAAATTAAAGGGTGAATGATTTTTTGGAAAATATACACCCCTGATGAACCTGATTAATTATTTTTCATTGCCACATCCCCCTTCCCACTAAATTCAAGTCCCCCCCCTTGAAGAAAACTATTTACCTTATTCGCCCTCCTTCTCGATTCTCTTAAAGGTTTTCGTCAGCTCTTGTTGCTGCTGTAGCCTTAACAAATATCTTGTTTACTATTACAAATATATAAAATATAAAAAGGGTCTTTCAGGATAACTGCACCGGGAATTATTTAATTGTCGTGTTTTTTTTACTTTTTGTATGAATCAGAATTAATATCAATCATCGTCGACGTAATTTTCAATGATCTTCAATTTGAAAAAATTAATGCATAATTCAGAGAAACAAAGGAACTCCAATTCCAACACAGCCATTAAACTTGAAAAATAGCCAAAAGTAGAAAGTTTTCTTAGTTTAAACATTGTCCTTAAAATAAACTTTAAAGAACATACTTGGTAAAATTTTCTGTTTTACGTTGCTGACGTTCCAGATCTTTTACTATTCCTTGGTGAAGCCTAGATCTATCATCTATCTAGAAACAGTCTTAATTTTATAAAAACTTAAGCCTAGTGAGAGGAGGAGGGGGGAAATAATTAACCAGGCAACAGCCTGATTTATAATCGCCTTTTTGATTTATTTGACCAGATTAAGAAGCCAAAATTTGAAATTTTTTTATTTAAAAAGAATTAGTAAAAGCCTAAAAAAACTTATCAATAACTCTGACGATGAGTTACAATGCATTTAATCAATCAATCAATCAAACAATCAGTCAATCAATCGTGAGTTATCTCTTTACCTGTTCTTGATGAACAGTGTAGATGATACCAATAGTACCCACAGTGGTTAGCGCCAGAACAACCTAGAAAAACTATAATAAACTTAAAACAAGGAAGGGGGGGGGGAGATGCCGAGCGCCGCGGCTAGGACAGGCTGAGGGGCCGGAGCTGAGGCCACATGATCAATTTTACAGAATGTACAAAATCCAAAAATCGCTCTCTAAGAAATTAACCTGAATTCTTTGAAAATTATAGTTATACACATGTGGCCACATACCTTAGAAGCTGTTGACATTCTACAAGCCTTAGAAAAGTTTTCATGTGTTCACCTAATGATTTCTGAAAATAAAGACATAAAATTATGCGTAAGTTCCAGAGCTATTTTATCGATGGCCAACCTTTGTAATTGTAAGACTGACAACTATTTTTGGTCACTTCGCGCGCTTACATTGTGTATGCAATGTATTCTTTGAAAACCGGGGATTATTATATAAATTCAGAAAATCAGCTGATCCAAGTCTTATGAAATACTTGTAGAAACAACGACATTTAAAAGAAAGAAAAAGACGATATTTAAAACTATCAAAATAATTTAGTAAAATAATTCCTTATTATATTATTTCCATACAAATCGTATAGTTTTAACACTTTACCCAACATTTTACGAAAGAAGCTAAACAGACAATATTTGTTTTTGAAATTCTTTCTTTTAATTCCTCAAATATGTTTAAATTTAGAGTTAAATATCTGAATAATCTAACCAAATGGTATGTTTTTAGCAATTAAGTAGCGTACATAAAGGGGGGCAAAGTGTGCACATATCTTATGCCAACTACGCGCACGGCGTACCCCCCCCCCCCC